TTTAGTTAGTTGTACTATCTAGAAAATACAAAAAATAATCCTGTGTATTTTCTAGATTGTTGTTATCTTTTGTTTTGTTTTAATGAGGTAAAGAATATAATTAGTATAAAAATCGATATTGATACCATCAAGAAAAGAACTTATTCCTACTTAAAAGGCCTGCAACGCACTTGCAATTTCCCAGATGTTGCGGATGGTCGTGAGCGGCAATAATCACTCATCATCAAGTAAACCGCAAGCTCATTTGTCCACTATGCCATAAAAAAAATTACCTGACCTGGTATTATCCACTGGTGCACCGCTAGAACTCACAGTTAGCGCAGACGGGTGCATCAATCCATTATCGTTCCTTAACACATTCAATGGATACGTATATATTTAATTTTTTGTTCTATATTTTTAGTAGGTATTATATTATTATCTATACCTACTAGATAGTAGTTAGTTGGGTTAGTTAATATCGTCTACACAAACAGAAGTGCTATCTAATGATTAATAATTATATTTACACCATTTCCGAAAAGGGTTCGTTAAGAGGATGTATCATCTAATATACTTAAGGGAACAATATTACAGTGCGACCACTACATGCATAGGGTGGGATGAAGAGGGCGCTAGTCGCTCTCCGGGGAGAGATCGGTTTAAAATAAAACATGATTATAATACAAACAACATATCAAATGTGAGAAACTTTTTGAGAATGTAATACCTAAAAATATTTTTTTATCAACAGTCAATCGTCTACATAGGCATACCTGTGTTTCACCTATTTCAGCTGAGGAGCAGCCTGCTTTCGAATATACGGTAAAGACCGTAAAATTACAGCATATGGAGGCATGCACTATGATAGTTCTCGGAAATGTCAACGCATGAAAGTGTTTTCATGTTCATAGGCAACAGATACCATTTGACTATTACCACAGATGAGACAATACCATCAACTAGACAGTCAGCTGTTTCCACATACTTAAAAATAAAAGTTTTATACGTAAGTATAACTGCTATTAGATTTATCGTCAAAATAAAAGACAACATAATCACATCTGTATACATCAGTTAAAAGACCATAAATATTAACAATATATAAAATACCCAGAATAACTCACACAGCCTTACCTAATAATGCTAACTAAGTAGGTAGAGCTTGTGAATATAGCATTTTTTCAAATTTACATAATAAAATCGCTATTTAGAGATAAGGCCGCCCATTGTTACCTCTATATTATAATTAGTTTGTTGTTTCATTTTATATTTGATGTACATATTAATTTATGTAATTATTCTTTCTGTGAGAGGAACAATAACGTGTTTTTCATTTCATTTTATTATAATATACACAAAAGACAATCAGATGTATCGTGACCACTAGGAATGCTTCTTCCAACCAATACGACCAAGTATCTCTATTTTGTGGCAAATGGATTGCTGATTGTATATTTTGCTTGACGGCATTTATGGCACCACTCAGTCTTCATAACACATGAGGTAAAGTACATTCTTCATATTTAAATCAATTTCCATGGGCATAAACATTACTTGTTTTTTCCGAAATGTAATAAGAAAAGTTTGCATTGTATTAAACATTCCTTAATCCTGAAATCCGTTTAAAAAATAATAAACTTGTTTATTCGGCTGTAAATCTTTACACGTAATAAAGTCGACTTATTCATTCACCCTCTGTAATCACTGTCTAATTCCGTATTCGTAGCTTACGATAATGATTAACGATGAAGTTTATTAATTCGATCTGGTGGGATTAGAGCGTTGGCACCGCGCTATTCCGCCCTACGGTACAGTGGAAAAAACAAACGCATCCCGCAAGGGACACGTAATCGTTTTCTTTCAGGGATGCCACTATCTACTTTAGATATAAATTCATACAACGTTGAAAAGTGTTCATAAAGCAATAAAGATTCATAACACAACAAAATGAAGGGAATTGAACTATAATTAATTAACAAGTTAATATTTATTGTATAATTACTAAACCCAATATTAATAATCGATATACCAAAAAACTACAATATAGTAACGTCTTTTGGAATCACTGAATTTCATACTAATTTTAATAACATTTTGTACACAAAAGCAACAAACAGATAAAACTTGTAACATTCTTTAATTTAAGTTGATAAAATCCTCATAATTGTTTTTCTCATATCATTGTTATTACTTGTACCTGTATAGTAGATGGATGTGTATGGAACAGAGCCATCTACTATATACAAATAATTTCTTTAAACTCTATTATAATATGTTTAATTATAATAAAAAAAATAATTAACTATCACATATTGCTTCTTTTTGGTTACCTACAACCACCGTTAAAAACTAGACAGTGCAGGTGACAACCCTATAACTGAAATCCTTGTGTCAACACAAGGGGTTGTGTAGAGTCTCGAGGGAGGCGTTTGTTTTTAATAAACGCTTTTATTTCGTAACTAGCGAACGTCCGCAGATTCGCACATATATCTGTTGTCATTTATTTTAACTACTCTGTGAAATAAATCATACGGTACATAGTTATTTTTAGTGAAATTAAAGCAAATGCGTTTCTTGGCGGATTAAATTAGTTGAGTATGTACTCATTGTTTGCATCACATAAAAATATTAGGTAAAAAATAATGTTCTTAAATTAATATTTAACACTAGCTGTGCACGCGACTTCGTCTGCGAGGAAATATAACTTTATTATTTACTTGATTAGCCGGAACAAACAAACAGACCGACTGACACAAAAATTGTAAAAAAAATGTTTTGGTGTATGTACCGTATTTATATTCATATGTAGTAAAACACTGTTATTTCAATATTACAAACAGACACTCCAATTTTATTTATATGTATAGATGAATGATGTAAACGCTGTTGTATCTATTAGTAGTAGGTATACGACCAACAGATATGTAGTGTTATCATATCTATTTGTAAGTATATTGTAATAGATAAATAATTAATAATTTGTCACGTTCTAATAGTTTTTATATATCAACTTAACCATTAAACTTACATTACTAAGTAAAACGCAATAGACACGTATGAGGATGTATATATTAACTGATAATAAAAAAATATTTGTGAAATAAGAAAACAACTTATTAATATCGAACAAGTGTGAACCAAAACTCTCACAGAACTAAAAGAATGGAAATAAGTTGTAAAATTAAATTTACTGTACATTATTCTATTATGTACAACCCACTTCTAACCAACTAACATTCACGTGTTGTGTCACGAACTGATGACAGTGCTCTGTTTAGACATTTTTACTGTTAAAACCTGAAAATATATCGTTTTATGACACATAATAATGGTATCACTAGGTATCATTATTTACAAAGGTGATCGCATATTGTTTTGTATTTCCTCTCATTAAATGAATGGATTTTTAATCCAAATATTTTCAAGATTTCTTTTCTATACGTAGACGATGCATTTTTTCTAGACATTGTTTATGTTTTGTCTAATATTTTACATGTAAAATATTGTAGATAAAACTGTCGTTGCTCTTTTGATATTTTCTACATGATTGTTTAAGTACATTTCCTAATAAGTACAATTCCTCCTTTTTCTGTAGTACTAAAATCCGTCTTTCCATATTAACAAGTAAGACACAGTGTCTTCACTCATACCTTATTTTATTACATACACTTGCAATATAATTAATAAATTAATTAACAAATATTTCTGAAATAATGTTGTCTTGCATAATACCAATTAAGTATTACTATACCAGAATATATTAAAAAAAATCTTACTTCTATATCTGATATATTCATTTTTTACTCAAATAATTAAATTAAGTAAACATTGTTCAATACTTTAGTCTTATAAATTCGTAGCATTTAAAAATAGTCATAGTAGGTATTGAAATAATCCTATAAATTTAATTTTTGCAACATATGTTTAAAAGAATATTCAGTACCTAAGCGTCTTGGTTATTCTATTATTATTCTATTTGGCTGAATTTATTATGGCTCATTCTGAATGGGTAGTAGAATAAAAAAAAAATTTTGGGCACGGTGTATTCGGTTTTGATTACTGAGATATGACTGTGAAATTACAGGGAACACAAGCGTTACAGCTTAGTTCTCAACAATAACAGCAGTTAAAAGTGGAACCTCTTGTGATATCACAACAAGTGTACAAGTACAACAGAGTCTTAATTGTCTTTTTATTTTATAACAAACTAGATTTTGGCTATAACATCACCAATATTTATGGCTGTAAAACCTTTTTTCACAAGGGCTTTAAATACCATATTCATCGTATGCATCTAGATATTAAATGAAGTAGGTACCTACCTAAGTAATTAGGTACTTAATTTAATATCTAGATACATCTGCCTATCGCAAAATCTGTAAAAGATAAATGGATAATCATTATAAGTATAACTTTTTTTAGTATCACAATTTATTTCACAACTGTACACGCCACTTAATCCTGCAATAAATTTTTAAATGATGTAAATTATTTGAACAGTCTTGTTGTATAGATAGTGAAACAAAGAAACAAAGTAGGTACATAAAATATTAGCTATTCACAGAACAATTGGTCGTACATATACGTAAGTACTATGAGTATTTATTATTTTGTAAAAACAGAGCAGTAACCGCCACTGTTAGACACTTCGGTCGAACGATTTCATTTTTAATATATTGTTTTGATGAGTTAATTCTAATCAAGATATAATAAATAGAATAGAAAAATTTGTATGATTTGAAATAGAAACATACTTTTAACATTCTTTTTTATCTAATTGTAATAGTGAACAATCTGACAGCTATCTCATGTGAACCTAGACACTGTGATACCTACTACCACTGTGTAAGATGTTATGCGTCGCATATCTACTGTAAATTCACTGCTTTAACCAAAACACAACTTAGAAAACAAGTTGACGATGGTATTAGATGATACTAAGGTATACTCACGCCGACAAGGTATCAATATTAGCATACATATCATGTTTAAGCGTTTCTAAACTTTTGTTGCCATAAGAAGAAAGTTGAAATAAACTGCGAAATTAGCATCGGCACTTTTTTATGTTCACTGCTGGTAACTATCGTGGTTCATTTCTAGTTTTTCACAATTTATTTGTTTACTCGAAAAATATATTCTACTATAAAATATCTAAACATACAATAATTTTGAATATAATCTGGCCATTCATTTATTAAATTACTTAGTCGAAGCCACAGTAGTAACTACTGTGGTCATCAGCTAGACATGCCTTGGAAATAAAGTCCGTATTGCATTAACAAATATATTTTGTTTTCCTTACAGGTAACAAAATGTCAATAAATGCTTTTTACTGGAAATGTCTTACTATCATATATGTCGTTACATCTATTACACAAGCGGACAATGGACCAAAAATATCAACAGCAGACGTTTGTAGTCCATTGGTAATAGCCCATCGTGGTGCGAGCGGGTACGTTCCCGAGCATACCCTGGGCGCCTATGCCCTCGCAGTCACTATGGGGTCCGACTACATAGAACCGGACATTGTTATAACAAAAGATGGGCATCTAATCGCTCGACATGATAATGAGTTGGGACTTACCACGGATGTATCAGATCATCCTGAGTTTCAATCGCGTTATCGAAATCAAAATGTTGACGGTAGACCGATAGCTGGCTGGTTCACTGAAGACTTTACCTTGGCAGAAATAAAGACATTGCGCGCGATTGAACGCATACCAAATGAAAGACCTGGTAACGCTAGAATGGATAAATCATTTGATGTTCCCACATTACAAGAAATTATAGATCTTGCTAAGAGCATGCAAGGTATTTACTGTAGGGAAATAGGCATATATCCAGAAATTAAACACGGTACTCATTTTCAGCGACTTGGATTGGCTATGGAAAAACCTTTGGTTGATATATTACATAAGAACGGATACACTGGTCCTGAAGCACCTATATATATACAATCATTCGAAGTAAACAACTTAAAAGAGTTGAAGAATCTGACCGAACTACGCTTGATACAATTATATGGTTCACGTTTATTACGACCATATGATCAATCTGTACTTGGTACAAATCTTACTTATGGCGAAATGGCAACAATCCAGGGCCTGAGAAATGTGGCAAAATATGCACATGCTGTAGGTCCAGAGAAAAACTATGTAATACCACGCACATTACAAAATAACCTAGGTGTTCCTACAGATTTTGTATCTGATGCGCACACAGCTGGACTAAAAGTACATCCGTATACTTTCCGCTCTGAAAACCGATATCTTCCTAGTGAGTTCCAGAGTAATGACACATCCCCAGCTGCTATCGGTAACGTTAAAGGAGAAATAAATGCTTTTTTGAATGCTGGAATAGATGGACTCTTTGCTGACCAGCCAGATGTACCTGTTATTATACGGGGACAATGTGCGATTGAGGTACCGGAATGTCAGTTTCGACGAAATTCAGCTAGACAATTAGTTGCTGTTATATGGTTGAATGTAACATTAATTATGTTAAGTCTATTGTATTCAATATCTACTGTGTCTAGTTAAGATTCTAGATAGGTACTATATTTTTTTAAATTTTGTGTTATGACCTACCTGTAATAATATTATAGATGTTTCTTATTAAACTGATTTTTAGATACTGGTCTAGAGTCTATGCTCCAAAACCTCATGTATGAAATAAAAAGGCTGGTGGTATGTCAATAAGTTAAATATAGTTAAAAATTACACACTGTGGTTTTTACTATAGAGTTATAGAGGGGATATAAATAAAATATTTGGAAATAAAAATTTGTGTTTTTTATATTTTTATTATTCTACAATTCGTTTCTTTGCCAGTAAAATATTTTACTTGGAGCATGATGAAGTGTGTCTCACATGTACTACATTAGTTTTACCGCAGATAAGATATTTTACATAGTTATATTATACTTTCATTAGACAAAGTCACTGATGTATTTTAATCGATTTTACAATAATTGGACACTGTTATAAAATCACCTTATTATTGTATTTACTTATCAATCATTACCTTGGTCTTTATTTTATGTTAGCGTACGTTATCATTGATCATGCCATATATCTCTCTACTCATGCCACTCCACCGATTTATTTTCAGCATCCGGCATCATACAACTGAGTACCTATACGTCAGTATCTATGCTGTTATCTAATTCTATTAGTATACTCACGTACAAAATTAAATAATATTATTATTTTATGTTTACATTTTCAAAACGATACGCTCGTTTTTAACTTGGAATTTTATTAAGATTCTTACAGCTGCTTAATCTTATAAAGCTAACGAACAGACGGGTAAACTTCTCCATTTATAATAGTAGTGTAAATTTCGGATATCAGAAGTTAATATATTTTTTTTATATGATAACTTGTTCAAGAAAATGTAACTGCTAAATGTTATTATTGGGGACTAGAGGATAGTTAGTATTCTATTAGCGCAGGCGAATGTACCATTTCATGTCCATGTATTAAATCTAATTACCTATTATTAAAAGTAACTGGCCCCGTAGCTACCCTGTGTAAAATTTATGATAATAATCAGAAGTATTTTGCATATAATTCACTTATAGCGTACCTATGCGGAATAGTAATATTTGTCAAGGATTTTACCTACCCATTAATATTTATAGTTTTCCTGTATGATTATAACACACACATCCTGTATAAATGATGTATCCAAACAGCCACTACTATGATGGAAAACCACACGTAACCTTTTATACAATAATCCTGTCGCAATAATCTTATTTCGTATAGAATTAGTATAGATACTTAAAGTAGGTAAGCTACGAAATAAACAAGAATGCATCAGTAACTATAGAATAAAAAAAACAGGCACTTTATTCTTAATCCGAAAACAAAATTCTTATTCTGTACACAAAGGTTGCAATTTTTTTTTAATCACATGAGTTAGATTCAAATTATAATAATGTTTTTTTTTTTGCGGGACACTAGTAACATTTTGAAGGGACAAGACTGAAGTTAGGTCAAGCAGCCCTTCATATGAATTAATGGCGACTGTCTGAATTCATCATTAATGTTTAGCCTATAATCTACTTTCCTAAACACAGACACATGAAATAAAAGTATTTGCTATTTTTTTGTTGTATATCTATCTTAAGAAATTTATATTTAAGACGTATGTATATTTATATGTTATATATTTTTCTTTAAAGAAAAAAGAGACAATTATAACTAGAATATGAAGACTGCTTTTATCTATAGGTACTCACTATAAAATTACCTCTACATTACCAATTCTTTAAATATATTGTTTAATTTGAAGTAACTGTAAAGGAAGAGGACGGCGGACGGATAAAGATGGAAAATGGACACACGGCGACAACCCCAAATAATAAGAAACCAAGGTTCATTGTATTAGAAGTAGGTAGTTGGATTAATTGTAATGAATTTGTATTTAGATCAGATGCGTGCTATTTCGTAATTAAAGAACATATTTACGTACGTTGGTGGTAAAGATTAATGAAATGTCAAAATAGCTATAAAAAAGTTCAATTTACAATATACGATTATAACTATAAACACCACTCAACAAAAACGACGTGCTGTAACTATAGATATACATTAGATTTGAAATAATCACTTGAAACAAAGCAATCAATAATCTAGGGTAGAAGGTCCTTGGATGTATCATTAGTACCTACCTAATGTTACGATACATGTAGGTACTTAATATTTATACACAGATAAATACAAACGTAGTTAATTAGTTCTCTATTTGTGCCAAGGGTTCCACAAATATTGTTACACCTTACTACAGAAAAATCTTTATTGAATATATATAAATAAATTATAAATAGATATATATATATATATATTTTAATGCTTAACCATGTAGAATCTATTCTGGAAGTTTTCATTCTGAACTAGATAATAAAATAAAGAGAATTCTCGTCATTCAATTACTTCCACAGAAAGGAAGTCAATAATTCCAATTATTCAGATGATACTTATAGCATTTGTATATATTAACAATGCTATATTTATTTATCTTACTATCAAAATTAATAATAAATAGAAAAATTATAAAAAGAAAAGTTTCCTAAAGAAAAACTATCTACATAAACGTATTACAAATAGAAATTTTACAACAGAATATATCGGCGCCAATCATTTGAATTCACCTGCATATGAAATATAATGTCTATTTCTAAAACAGTTTTTACAAGCACCCCTATTTGATACGTGCTTGTTTGAACTAAACAAGGTTCATAATAGGAATTAAATTACCTTGATACTAAACAATTTTGTCCTCGTATATTTCTTTAAATGCGTGTCATCTTGACTGAGACTGCTTCAAAACACAATTATTCTTATATTTCATATTGTTGTATACACACGTTTCTGGTCGTCGTAATTAGATCTGTGAGTCCATTTGTATATTGTTTCAATAAAATTGTAACAATACTTAGTTGAAAATATAAAAGAATTGTGATTTTGGTGACTAAAAAATTCATGATTATTTAATAGAGAGAACGAAAATATGCCTTATTACTTGTTTATTGATCTCTACATATAAGTGATACATAAACATATGCATATTATTTTAAATTATAAGTAAATATACTAACAGTTACCTATATACTTATAATTTATTTAATTTACAGATGCAAAACCAGTTAGATAAAAGGAAATAATAATGAATTTTAAAGTTTCCTTAGGGATATTATTGACGGGATTTGGTGTAATTTCAACGTCAATGCATGTCTCGTTTCTTGGTAATGACGTTGAAAGAGAAGTCTCCGAATGTAATCCGCTTGTTATAGCACACCGAGGTGCAAGCGGTTATGTTCCTGAACACACTCTCGGTTCCTACACACTCGCACTTATTATGGGTGCAGACTATATCGAACCAGACCTCGTGATGACTCAGGATGGATATTTAGTAATTCGGCATGACAATGAATTGGGGCAAACAACTGATGTTGCAGAACACCCAGAGTTTGCAGACCGCCACAAGAATAAAACTGTTGACGGAATCGAATTAACCGGATGGTTCACTGAAGATTTCAATTTGACTGAAATAAAAACTTTGCGTGCCATTGAACGTATACCAAATATAAGACCGGGCAATGCTAGGATGGATGGCTCATTCTCAGTATTGACCTTCCAAGAGATTATAGATCTAGCCAAAGATTTTCAACACGTGCAAAAACGTGTCATTGGCATTTATCCAGAAATAAAACATAGTACGCATTTCCGACGCCTGGGATTGCCCATGGAGCAATTAGTAGTGGATACACTACATAAAAATGGATACACTGGATCTGAATCACCGGTTTACATACAATCCTTTGAAGTAAACAACCTTAAAGAGCTTAAAAATATTACAGATATACGACTCCTACAACTGTACGATGAAAAATCCATTCAACCATTTGACCAACGGGAGCTTGGAACTGGTCTAACCTATGGTGACATGGCGACACCAGAAGGGCTAAAAGAAGTTGCCAAATACGCTTATGCCGTAGGTCCTGACAAGAGTTACATTATTCCTAGAGATTCTAATAATAGACTTGATAAAGAGACTAGTTTTGTAAATGATGCGCATAATGTAGGATTAAAAGTACACCCTTATACATTCCGGGCAGAAAATGCTTTCCTACCCGCAAATTTTCAAAGTGATAATAATGATCCCGATGCTATTGGTGATATCAAAAGTGAAATAGAAACATTCCTCGCAGCTGGAATCGATGGTCTCTTCTCCGATCAACCTGATATACCCGTTCGTGTTCGGGGCTCGTGTAACAAATAGTGTAAAATAAATATAGACATGTAAATAATTGTACAGTAGGTATATCTATATTTACACACATTATATGATTTATGTATTAAACCATTAGGGAATAAATTAAATTTTATTATTCTGTACATAGTTAATTTCTTTGTATTTTCAGCAATTTATATCAATTCTTATTTTAAGTTAGATCCATTTGGATACAAGTAGATATGTGACGTGTTAATATTTTTAAGTAATTACTTTCTATAAAATACATATAGATCTCTATATATTATTATATTAATCTGTCAATTACCTAATTAAAACTGGTTTACAGGATATATATTTACTATTACATACACCTACATAGAGATACGGTAGATCTCTTTCCATTTCACGGACAAGAGCCCTAAATTTCGCGGTCGATGAACACGAAATTCATACTCCTGTTATGTTTAGAGCTTTTCATTGTTAGCCAAGGTGTAATATTACGTTATCTGTGGCCAATGTAAGGTCTTCCGATACGTTTTTAATGCAACTAGTATGGCAATTGAGCCTACAGCCCACGTCAGCTGTAGTCCTGTCATACATGGTGAAGGGATTGTTAATAAGGGAACTAGTGGTACTAGTGCTAGCATTTAGAATCGCACTAATTATAGTAATTATTGTATCTACATACTATAGAGACATGATAACGATGGGACGATTTGATCACGCCACAGTCATGTCATATGACGTACATGGACAATACCTAAATATCTAAGATCTATAAATATGTGTTTTAATGACAAAATCATCTTTTGTCTAGATTACTCCATCATATCTAATCTTGTTATCTATTAAATCTAACTAACGAAACTAAAGAAATAAAAATGAGTGAAAAAAAAAATATTGCATCCAAACCAAGAATAAAGGTAAAGGGAATTGTTGATAATGTGGACTCCACGCGGTTTCATCTGGAAATCATAATGAAACATGGTGAATTTGTCACGATGGGTTAACTGACCTGACCTCATCCTATCATTTTCCATCGGTGCCCCGCTAGCGTAAACCATTAGCGCAAGTGGATGCACCATTCCATTATCATCGTTTATAAATAAAACATAAAAATATAAAAGCGGAAGCGCAACAACCGCATTCCTAATAATTTACCCTGTTAGGTCGACCTCCACGCGGTCCACCTGGAAACCATGGTGGGTTTTTTTTTATTCAACAAATTATCGTGATAAATACCTACCTGATTAATTTGTTACGATCGGCTAACCGATTTGACCTCATCTTCATCTTATCACCCTTCACTAGTATCGTAAATCGGTAGCGCAAGCGGATGCACAATTGCATTATCATCCATTTAAAAAACGCAATATCTCGTTGTCGCTATTCAAATCTTTTTTAAAACATTAAAGGATAGGTACAGTTCAGTACCTTAGGAAATAAATAAAGACTTGATATTTTTAACATACGTTTGTATATATATGTGATCTGTTTTAACATATTAAAAATGACATTACTTAAAATGTAATATATACATGGTTTAGATGACATTTTTATCAGTATTCGTTGTTAATTCTTGTATGGTTCCCAGATTCTTGTTCTTAGCTATGGTAAAAGTTCGTGGACAGATTACAGGGGACCTGACATTTGCCATACCAATACTGTCATCTGTCAAATTCGGCGAATCTAATCTGTTGTGTCTTTGTAAATTGTCATTGGTGTTATTGACTTATGATAGCATTTAAATAAATCATTGTGGCACTAATTTTATATTTTAATGATTAGTATTCATACAATTTACATAATAATAGAAATGTGAGCTATTGGAGCCACTAGACCACTTTTTCAGAAATGATAAGACAGTCCCTTAAATTCAGAAAGACAATTTTTGTCATATTCATTTTGTTTTTATGTAAGTAAAATAAAGAGTTTATTATCAGTATTTTTAATTTATTTATCTATATATAGCGACCAACCTCGGCTTCGCACGGGTGTATTGTATAAAGTATATTACTTATATTATAAATATATAAAGTTTATATGGAAGGAAGGTTTATATTATAAACATTCAGAAAAAGAGACTGTGAAAACCATATTAAAATCATTACACACATTCATTTATCTGTTTGTACGTATAATTGTAAACCATACAATTATACGTACAAACAGATAAACGAAATCAACGATTTTGTTTTATATTATTTATATATGATAACACTTATGATAATTAGTATTAAGTTATTGCTTCTGAACGTAACAAATTTGAGCAGTAAACATATGCAAGTTCCAAATACTAATTGAAATTGCTTAGATGTTTTTGATTCATGCTTATAAATCAACTGGAAATCTATAATATATATCTTATTAAGTATTAGTTAAGAGGGATCCTACAGCCACAAACACAATTAAATTTATACAACATATATATTATTTAAATTTATACAACATATACCATTATTTGTAACCGTAATATGTAATTGTTTTTCTTTACAGTGATTATATTCTTTTTTATAAACCATAAAGATAGTAATAATATTGCGGACACTCAAAGAGTATCCCAAGATATTCCACGTGTAGGTTACCAAGACTTCAATTCAGTACCAAAGAGGGAATATTATTATGTAGATAACAAAAAAATGGGATCAAACAATGTAGCCGATGATCATATAAAACAGGAATTGCAGGAAACTAGAAATCAAATAGAGCAGTTAAAGAAAAAAATTGCATTTTTGGAAGGAAGAGTACCACAGAAATATCCTGATGTGAAATATTTAGGGTACAAAGAGAGGAAGCGGATATTGGTTAGCCTTTTGTTCATTATTGTTATTATTTGTCACTTTGTTAAAATAGTGTAAAATTTTGTAAAATACATTTCATATATATAAAATGTACTAATATTTTTATAAGTCCATTACTATTAATGCATTAGTCCACCTGTTTGGCACAGATTATCATTCTTTGCTCATTCTTTTATCATCCTGGCCATTTCACCAGGAATTATATACCCCATGATTACCAGAGGCACTGTATGAAGGTTGACTTGACAAGGCTACTAGATGCTATTCCTATCAATCTATTATATATATTTATATTCTCTTATGCTGATACTGATTAAAAATTAATGAACACATAAAAAACAAGTATCAGTTGAGTTTCTTGCTAGTTCTTGTCAACTGGAGTAGCTAGCTGAACTGGACAGTAGGGATGGTGGTAAAAAAATTACTAACACTTACTTCCTTCCGACACTTTTGGATGCTTGATCCAAAAGTGTCGGAAGGAAGGATGTTGGAAGAATGTTTTATCTTATAGTAGTATCATTTTAATATAAGACTTCTATAAATACAACAAAACATAATATTGTTTCTATTGCAGGTGACAGGCGGTGCAGGATTTGTGGGCTCTCATCTAGTGGATGTTCTTATGATGCAAGGGCATGAGGTCATTGTGGTTGATAATTTCTTCACTGGCAGAAAACGCAATGTTGAACATTGGTTCGGTCATAGAAACTTTGAATTAATTCATCACGACATTGTTAATCCACTGTATGTTGAGGTACCTGTATACATATATATTTTTTTTATCTGACAAATTTCAGTTCCAATAAACAATGGCAGAAAAGATGAACAGAATTATTTAGTCTATTTGTATTCAAATTATGTTAGAGCATTTCATAGTTTATTTCCCTTTTTATATAATTGGGCATACTCTGCCCAACTTGAGAGTATCAAATTTGAATTCTGTATAATGAATCCTAAAGGAAGTTTAAATATTTATGTTATAGCCTTATATTTACTTCAGTAAATTGCGAAAATAGATAATTATAATTGAAGGTAGAATGCTCCTCCCTCCATGCATCCATAACAATGTTAGGCATTGTTGTACTGTTAAATATTGCTTTATTTGAGGTTGTTTGAATTAGAAAGAACAATGGAATAATAAAAATACACCATCCTGTATAAAATATACACATTCCAGTATCATTGGCAATCATATAATTATATCTTATAATCATACAATTTTCTTTTTTTTGTTTCAGGCAGATGAAATATATCATTTAGCTAGCCCTGCAAGTCCACCACACTATATGCAGAATCCGGTGAAGACCATTAAAACTAATACGCTGGGCACTATTAATATGTTAGGTATGTGGTAGACATGTAATAATTTTGCATCTGATGATTACTATAAAGGGTTCATTACATTATATATTTATAGTTTTGTCTAAGAAGTCACTAAAATTACTTTTGTACCAATTAGTAGGTACTAATGTAAACGTTGCACCAGTATCTACACTAATTGATATGATTCTGCCAGCTATAAACCTATATAATTGATAGAACAATGAATGTTTAAGAGATTGCTTAAAAATTCTAAACCACCCAGTGCCATTTTCAGTTTTTTTATACAAATGATAAACAAGCTGATGGTAAGTGTTAGCCGACGCATATATACATACATAAACTTAGGACAGCATGTTATCGTGTAAGGCCTGTGATAATTGCATTACCATTCCAGATGACTAAGATGTCATGCCTCTTATCTTGTAATTTCACTGCCTGCCTTTGCTCCTACAACTAGAACATGGAAAACAAGCTGCATGTTTGAAATAAGTAAGACTGATCCATCACTATGTTTACAGTGGTAAATTAAAAAAAAATTCCTCTTATTTTGTTTAAAATTTATTTTGTGTTATCAGTGTTATCAGTATTTCCTGTTTTCAATTTTATATATTTTCCGCTATGATACACACAAATAACTAACCATGTAAGTAATATATAAATAAAATAGTATTATGAATTATCTTTATTTTAGTGTATTAAAATTACAGGACTCGCACGGCGTGTTGGAGCAAAGATATTAATTGCCAGCACATCTGAAGTTTATGGTGATCCCATGGTACACCCACAGCCAGAAACCTATTGGGGACATGTGAATCCAATAGGTTGGTATTATGGAACTGTTAAAGTTTATCTGTTTTTTATTGGTTTAATCAAGGAATGTTTATTTTTCTATAAAAAGTATAAATAAAAAGGAATAATGTTCCTAAATAAGAACTGAAAGTTCAGTCCTTTCCAAATTGTTACTATTATAATTAAATACGTTGAACTGACATGTATCCCACCACATAACAGCTAGCTGACAATATTATTTTTTCATTCAAAATTGCATATAAGTTAACATCTAACAAATTTTAGAGTGAGAGGAAGCTATTGATTTTTTTTATGTTTCTGCTGACATATAATATGCTTGCTTTAACACCATGCTACAGCCAGCTGACAATTGTTTATCTTTAATATAGAGGTTTAACTATCATTTGAGAACTGGACGGATATGACTTTTTTTTATATCTTGGCAACTCCACAACCCACCGCAGCTCCTTCAGACTTTCTCTAGAATAAGGACATTGGTCATCTTGACATGACCTGTTCTTGACTTGCAGGTTATTAATATTATTCTATACCTACATTACAGGTCCACGGGCATGTTATGACGAAGGCAAAAGAGTGGCCGAAACATTGGCTTATTCATATGCTAAGCAGGAGAAAGTGTCTGTGAGAGTCGCAAGAATCTTCAATACGTATGGACCCAGAATGCATGTCTCAGATGGGCGCGTAGTGTCCAATTTTATTATGCAAGCTTTACAGAATTTAACAATAACAGTAAGTTTAAATTTTGGTACTTATTAAGGCAATTTTTTTAAAGAAGTTCTATACAAACTAAAAAAGAAAATATATTGTCTAAAGAAACTGAATACTTAGTAAAACTACACAAATGTGCGACTCCTTTGTGTAATATGTATTCATAGTATTATTTCTTACTAGCTGTGCCCGCGGTTACACCAGAGTTAAATTTCAATATAAAATATAGCCTATGTGTTATTCTGATGCATAAGCTATATTACTGTCAAGTTCAGCAAAACCTGCTCAGTAGTTTTTGCGTGAGAGTAACAAACATCCAAACCTAGAAACGTTTATAATAAGATAATACTATTAAGATTTTCATGTGAAATCTAGTTCATAACCAGCTTTTTGCAAATCCGTTAGGTTTAAAAGAATCTGACTACAGCCACTAAACATTGATATATGGAAAAAATCCATACTAATAATATTGAAAATTGATTATTTGTTAAAAAATATTGAATTATAATAGTCATTTTACCATGCATAAGAATTCCATTGTACATTTAAGCATTATATTTCAGGTTTATGGCAATGGGAGGCAGACTCGATCATTCTGTTATGTATCAGATCTGGTAGATGGATTATTGTCCTTAATGGCGTCTAGTTACACTTTACCGGTTAACATCGGAAACCCTGTTGAACATACTATAGAAGGTAAATTACAGAATTCATTAAGTTTTTGCAGTTGTTATTACACTAAATACATATAATTGGCATATTACTAGACACTTGTTTTTTTTTTATTTAAAGCTATCCAAGCTTTGTAATGATAGGCAGTTTTGACGAAAGTGCCGGGATCAAGACATGTAACATTTCTTTCCTAATATAATATTTCTTCATATTTCACATCGTATGTATTATATTAAGAGCAAATATAGGTACATAGTTCAATTGTTATAATATTGTTTAAGCGGAAAAATAATACTAATAGTAAAAAAATCCAGTTACGTCATGTCTACGCTCAAGGTGACTTAGAAACTAATTCCATGTCGAATATATTCCATTCAAATTTCTTTACATACTCGTGTGATAAAATAACATAACATTCTAACATTTTTTCACTTAAGTTATTTTCGTAATATGGTATATTTTTTATTTACAGAATTTGCAATGATAATTAAAAATCTAGTCCCCGGCTGCCGTAGCACGGTGTCCACCGGAGCTGCAGTAGAAGACGATCCACAACGTCGACGACCTGATATTGCTATTGCAGAGGCCCAATTAAATTGGTCGCCCAAGGTAAATCACACTCCGCAAACGGATTCATTGAATCGCTAAACAAATGAAATCAATGTCAAATTTTCGATTTTTCGATGCGTAAATAAGCCATAGTCGGGTCAAAATATACATGAAAAATAAAAAAAGCAGTGCGGATTTCGTTATATTCCGGGAAAATCTATAGTTGTCCTACTGTATAGTAATACTTCAATATGTCCACATACAAGTCCTATACCTATATCAGATATATTTACTGTTCATACTTACAGTTTTTGCAGTAATTAGTATAATAAATAAATGATTTTATAGTAAATATTTAAATATAATTAATGTAATAAATGATTAAAATAGTTGGTATCACAGTATGGTATCCACCGTCGTTGCGAAAAATTATATTTAATAATTATTTATTTGTACCAATTGTGATAATTTGCATTCACAAATAAATAATTCTGACAATGAGGTAGATTTTTCTTTATAATAACTAAAATCCATTAGAATTTGCAAAGGGGCTAGCTTACATGAATATCTAACAATATTATTTAAACTTTTTTTTCAGGTATCGTTACAGGATGGTTTACAAAGAACTATAGATTATTTCAAAGAAGAATTGTCCAGAACAACATTTTACAATAATCAAACTTACATGGATGTAAAAGTAAAAAGTCCTCAATAGAATATAATTTTTTTATGAATTCTCTATAATTGTGATATTGTATTGACTGTTTCTAATAAAGTGTGATGTTGTGTATAATAATAGATTATAATTGTTATTCATAATGAGTTTTTTTTATTGCTTTATAACATTATATTTGTTTTGTAAAAAAATTGTAGATTTATATATGCTCAAAAATTCGAACATTATATGGAAATAAGTGAAATTACTGTACTATATCGGCATTACAAATAGAACAATAGTTGAATTAATATTTTATCAATCATTCAAAATTTTATCTAGTTATTTAATTATGACAGTGAATCATAAAATATTTACTGAAGCCACTCAAACGGAAAAGAAATAATAGCAGTTAATTTCATTTAACTTTTACTCATATCGTATATGGATTATTCATACTCGATTATACTCAGATTTCTTTGACATGATTTCAAAATTTATTTCTGATACTTGATAATGACAAGAAATTGTTTCAAATAAATATTACTTTACAATACACATTATGAAAATGATTGTACTCAGATGACAAGTGATTCTTTATTTCTGTCATAATATTGATGATCTTAGATTGTCCTCAAGTAGGATTCAGACATATTTCATATTTTATAATAATCAGTCTTCAGCTTAGCATCTAGCTACTTATGTTTATGTATATATTATGTTTATGTACTTATCAGTACACATCAAGTACTTATCAATAGTTATGAATGTTATCATTAAAAAATCCTTAAAATTGTTTATTTGAATAAAGATTATTTCTGTTCTATTTTTCTGGAATTATTACCTCTTCTATTGGAGATATTTGAGGTTAAAAGTTTAAGAAATTAGAAACTAACACAGTATATAAATAATTATAATAAAATTATTATAATATTGACTAGATTTTTCTATGTATATTGTTTACAACACATACTGGGCAAAACATTCCATTTATACCGATACAACATGTGTTGTGGTGTTTCACTACTACAAAGCTTCTCTCCATGTGAATGTACTAATGATTTATACATTAGGAACATGTCACTTGGTGTTTGATTGTGTCTTACAAGCATATGGTCAACACAACCACGTGATCGCCACTGAGTATCAAATCTAATGTCATGGACTCTGTTCACACCCTTGAGAGCTGCCGTCCAAACACCCATTGAAACATCTTCAGATATATAATGGCTGAAAGAAAATATGTATTTTGATTTATTCCGAGTATACTGTGGGAAAAACATTGTCTTTATTTCTTTCCATTATTAATTCTTGTTTTCTAGTATTAGTTCAATAATCCAAAACAAATTCCATTTTGACATACCATGCTTACAAAATAGTTATTTAAATAACTATTTTGTAAGCATGGTATAATATATATTATGACTATTGCTCTAATGCAGATAATTGTCAAAACAGTTATTTAAAATTTGTTTCAGATTATTGAACTAAAACTAGGAAACAATCATTTCAAGCCACTGCTTAGTTTCACATCTACTTAGATATAATACTCTGAGCTGTTAGGACTTTAATTGCAGAGTCAAACTCTAAAGAAGCTATCTGTTCAAACTTGCATATGGACTCACAGTTGTCACAGGTTATGAGGAAGATACAATTTAGTATCTGTCTTGACTTACAAAAGAAATTCTCAGGTATTCAAGTATTAAAATGCAAACATTGTACCAAAGAACACACCAAGTTGAACCTATTTAATGATATTTCATTAAGATCATAATGTACCTCAGAAAATCAGCATTTCTTGATATATAGTCTACAATACTCTGTGATATAACATATCCACCACCAAGGGCATAGGGCAAATAGTGATCACATAGGAACCAATCTCGTTCCTGCCATTTGCCATTCATGAATACTTTTGCTCTGCCATCAAAATATCCCCAGTACAATCCTTTATATGACGGCAGATTTTCCTGAAATAATACTTTGATATCATATTAATGTAATCATTAGATGTTATCTATTGGAATAAATAAAACTGAAGTGTCTGTATGCAATTTCAAATTAAAAGCTTTTAACAGTTTTTGTTTGTTTCTGTTTGTTCTTGCTGTCTTCGTAATGGCTGGACTAATTTTGACAGTACTTTCACAGATAGCTAATGTGATAAGAAGTCACTTGGTTAATTTTATTTTAAAAAGATCTTAATAACAAAAAGGAAGAAGCTGTGGGTAACAATAGTGTATAACTATATTTCATAGAGATCAAAAGTGATGTAAACATAAACCTAAATCCCTAAATCCCTAAATCCCTTTTATGAAAACTAGTATTATGAATATGAAAGTAAACTCTTCCGTTATCTATGTGTAACCATTTGCACCTAAATAACTGAATCAGTTTTTTATTACAAAACCCAAAAAATATAATATTTTGAATGGGGAACCAATAATTTCACAAGTTAAGAACATAAATATCATCAAAAATTTAAAATGTGGTCTACTCCAAGTTCTACACTATGTAGAGTATGTAAAGGCACAGAGAAACATGAGCTGTAACTATAACTGGCATAATAGCCAGCTTACTCACCTTATAACTAACATATTCACTTATTACAGTGTCACTCATCTGCGGTGCAAAAGCCTCTAAATCTCTAACAATTAAGTCAATTCTCACAAATGAATCATCATCACATTTTATCAAATATTTCAAACCCTCTACATTGCTACTAATCCAACTCAATGCAAGAAGTATTTTTAGAGATAATTTTTTATAACTATCTTCAAGCTCATTTAAAAACAGCAAATCATGACTCCTACTATTCTCCTGTATTAAGCCATCTAATTTAATTTTACTTAATCCAAGTGTTCCTATAGCAAAATAGTACTTAATAAATTCATGGTGCACTGTCGGACTGGATCCAGTGAGATTCCATTTATATAATTTTTCCCCATTTTCTATGAATAGATTGGTTGATAATTTTGACCAAGTAGCTCTAATTGCATCTCGCTTTTCTTCATTGGAGGGACCACTTAATATAAGCACAATGTACTCTGAATTACTGTGTAGTATGCTCTTTTTATTATTAACTGAGCTTACTGTTGATACTGCCTCAGCACATTCAAGACGAAGGAAGCTCAATGTTAAACCACATCCAATATAGAAGAAAAAAATACTTGCTAATATCATACTTTTATATCTTTTGACCAAAACAATAAACATTTTACGGAACAATGTCTTCAAATATTCGACATTCGAATTATAGAAGGTACAAAATAGTTTCCAACCATATTTTAAACTATAAAAAAATATTTAAATTATTATTCTCTAAATTCGAAGTCTGTTTTTAATCTCGGAGACTAAATTGACAGGTGTAAATGTCAAATTTCCAAATAATGTTACCACCTGTAGCAGGGTAGTGATGTACATGCGATACTGATTTGTTGCCCCTCCGATCGATCCCCATCTAAATAAAACGGGAAACGTAATTATGATGACCTAAGCCGAAGTTAGACATTTTGCGCTGTCCTCAAACCAAAATTGTATCTGAAAGCGGGAGTTGGCCTTCAGCGGCTCCATAAATCCTTCCGCGGGTTTAAAGTGCCATCTGCACTCACCCCCGATCGTTCTGTGAAGCTGATCAACAGCATTAGAATAGTCAGAATAAATAAAACCAACTTGTTTAATCACAAGTTTTTATTGTGATATATTCCTTTTAAAGCTTTATATGAAATTTCTAAAATATATTTTTAAAATTTACGTACATATATTAGTGTGCCGAAACTTGTAATATTTCTGTCAACACTTGGGACCCTTCCATTAGTTTACGTCTCCACTAAAATATATTTAAATTCAGTGTAAAAGCAGTCTACCTCCCGACTACTACTACTACCTCTGCTTTAATGTACGCGTTACTAAAAGTCCTGTAGCACACTATATAATAAACTGACTAATGCATAATAATTTCACCTGTACACTCATTACTCATTACCTACATACTACAATAAATAAATAAATTATGTAGCGACACGTCATCACATCATACACAACGGTACAGTGGAGAGGTGATACAACCGCGCTACAATGGCAATTACTGGAAAATCAAGAATCCTGTATAGTAGAAGGTATAATGAAATTAAAATACAAAAATAATATGAAAAACCACGGCTTTACGAGCTTACACCCTTTGCCTTTCCTACAAGAAGAAATAAAAAAAAATAGTAGAAGATGACATATATGACTGACATACTGTCAGTAAATCATCTCTGTCAGTGACAGCTCCACATTTGACTTGGTTTGTGACAGTTTCTGTGGTTGGTTATGGTTACTGTCAGCCCTCTTGAAAAGTATATTCTTTGGATTAGTCTGTGTAGATCTCTGAGTGAAGTGTGATTATTATAGAATTTATATATTTCGCCGGGTTTTCATTTCTTAATAATTTTAGTCTCTAGCTTTAAATATTATTTTATTTCGTTAACAATTTCTTTGTAGTTTTAAAGTCTGTGATTTACATATTATTTTTATGGTGAATAATTAATACTGTGCAAGAGAATTACAATTCTATGTACTTAATATTATTATTTTTAATACAAATACGAAGGTAGTTGTGAAGAATTTCCAAGTGTTCTTAGTGTTCAATAACTGTGCCGTCCAATTCCAATACCATGATAATTTTATGCTAATACTACAAAATTACATTTCTACCCTTCACGTGAAGAGTTAAAGATTTGAACTTGTTCGGTAAGTGTTAATATGAATGGTAGTGGATACTTCAATGACTAGATCGTGCATAACGACGATTTAATTATTAGAATAATTTATATAATATATTATAGAAAAGAATAGTATATATAATTGTTCATAGTTAAAAATACAAATTGTATTAAGTTGAATACTTAAATACTTTTGAAAACCATGATCTTGGTTTTCAAAGATTTTTAAGTATTCAAGTCCTTAGATAGTTTTTTTTACCGATGATAATTAAATTATGCACCTGCCTGTGCTAACGGTTTACGCTGGCGGGGCTCCAGTGGAAGATAATAAAGTGAACATGAGGTCAGGTCAGTTAGCCCATCTTAACAAAATTTCCAAGAATTTGTCAGGATGGTTTCCAGGGAGAACCGTTTGGAGGTCTACCTGACATGGTACATTGCTAGTAATGGGACCAACAGTCCATATTACTAACAATGTACTTTCCCCACCCTCTCCAACTTAAAATGTAAGCTTGTATTAAAAAAATTTGCTGCTTTCTATTTTTTAAATTTATCAGTCACAAATGCTATGTAGTTCCAAATTTCATGATGATTCAAAAACAAAATAACTTTTAGATTTTATTATTACATAGGGTGATTATACAATATTATACAATAAAAATATTGCAAAGTATTGCACAACATTGAACCTCCATACTAAAGGTGTATTGTAAAAAAAATATACAAAAAAAATTACTTAATAGAATCGGCATGGAGTCTTCCAAGAAGAAGGGCCGTCCACCACACCCCAGAGCAACAGCAAATCCACTATCAGCACTCACTTTTGGGTATGTGTTCTTTCATAAAATGTTAATTTAAACCATAGATTTGTAGAGCAAAACTCGAAACATTACACATACCACTTTTATTATATACAACTGTAAAGTATTTAACAACTAGTGTATTCAAGAATGTACATAATTAAATTCCTAGCAATTAAACAAGGCCTTATGGATCTTGTATAGAAATGATATAATTAAATACTTACAGTACCATCTAGTCGCAAGCTAAGCAGAGCTTGTCTTATGAGTATTAGACCACAGATATATTATAGATTTCTTTGTACATACATAACTACATACATATTACACATAAAAAATGTTTGTAACATGCAAGGAATCAATCATGCAACCATCAGATGTAAGGCAGTGTGCCACTAGACTAACTAGCCTGCAGAGGCCATTCATATTAGTATACAAAAGTTGTATATATTTTAGTGGATAGTAAGTATTATCCACTTTTAGTAAATCAAGTACTCTGGCTTTGTAACATACTTAGTTTAACTGTAAGTCATAACAGTATTCTGTTCATTTCCTTTGTAGATGGACCTTGCCAATATTTTGGGGTGGTTTGAAAAAAGAATTGGAAGAACATGACCTGTATGAGCCATTAGATGAACACTCTTCTGGTAAGTCTTATATTATACTTCATATTTACTTATATTCAAACTTTCATTTAGTACACATTATTAATAAAGTTAAGTGGGTTTTAAAATGCTAGACCATAGAGGCAGTAAAGTAAAGAAAGTAACAAATAGTAAAGAAACCTTAAAATTTATTTCGTAAGTCTCTACATGTTGAATTGTCATAGAAGAAATTACACATTGAAAGAGAATGTCATAATAGTTAAAACGTTATGCGGTTACAGAGTGGCTACGCCATTATACTATTTTATTTCTAACAATTGATGTATCTTATCATATTAAATTTTATTACTGTACAATTAAGTAATACAAACAAATAAGGTATAAGTTTTTCCATCAATTGAGTTATTTCATCTATTACAACTCAAATTTTTTCCCTTTATTAATCATACAAGATATTTTGACATAAAAGCTAACAATAATTAATTCAAAAGTAGTTGCCTAACCCTACATATACATAAACGAGGTATTCACCGTTTTAAATTTTGTATATAGGTACCAACCAATCTACAGATATGTAGGTAATGTTTAAAAAAATCTGCCAAAGATAAAATTGAAATACAGTACTGTAAATGATAGTATCTAATTAGTTTAGTTTGATATTTGCTTTTAATAACAAATATTGTTTTCAAAATAAAACAACAATTTACAACATACATTCTTTATACAATATAATTGGTTTATGAAACAAACTATTTAATCATTAAAACTTAATACGTTTCTAAACTACTTATAAAAGTAAGAGGTTCTTACTTTATTTGACTGTTTATTTTAGCGTATATTTACACGTGCAAGGCACAGACTGATTATTTAACGCAGAGGTGTCAAACTCAATTTTACAGAGAACCATTTATTAAATTAAGATTGTGTAGGCGGGTCAGATCAAATAAAAAAAATGTCCTGAATTATTATAAAATTTTATTTATTTAATTATGTGTGATGTACGGTCGTTAAATATATATCTTATTGGTATACCTCGGGTGCCAGATGCAGCCCCTCTCTCTTCGGATCTTTGACAAGACTGATTTAACGCATCGAATTACTTTATCTCGGATTTCGGTTATAACAGTTAAAATGAATAGATAATAATGTTTTGACTGGTTCATGAAATAAGTTTCTATTTACCCTACCCATATGTATTTTGATTTTTTCCCAGTTATAAAAAATCGACAACTCTATACTTCTGCCTTCCATTAACTGTACCCACAACCATTTGTCAACCTTTGTTCAAAACATTTTATTATATAATTCCACGAGCATGGGGTTTTCCTATAAAATGCCCTTGATATGTTTGATCTACTCTGTAACTTGACGTTTCACGTACATCACATGCTTTTGTATCGTCGCAATTACGTGTACGGCATACACACAGTAAAGCAACCAGGGTACCTACAATGTATTCATGGCTGAGTTCCCACGGCAAAGCATAACGATCTTGTGGACTTCCATTATCTATTATTAATTGAACAATTCCGAAATGGTATAAAAATAGTCCGATACAATCAACTATTCATATTTTATATTTACATATTTTACGTTTCTACCCAGTATACTATTTCATTTAATGCATAATAATAAAATGTTATACTTGCATATGATACCATCGGACTTAATAGGTCTACGGCAAATCGTACACTATGAAACTTTATTACCAAATGGACTAAAAGATCGATCGAGAGAAATAAAATTTCTATACAGATTACGACTGTTCTTATGATACCGAAAAGGTGATTATAGCGAGTATAATCACATCAAAGAGAAGTTCCAGTGTATAAATGGTAACTCATATGGGGGCGTCTGATATGATTAATTATTTTATTGTATTGATACTCTGTATAGCTGTAGTAAAATGTTAAAGATTTAATTCCGGAAATAAAACCAATATGTTTATAAAAACTAGCCTATTTCTTACAATATCTAAAATATTACGTCGAATACGTTATGCCAAATCTCATGTAGACTGGTTAAGCCGTGAAAACTTAATAAAAAAAATTACTTTTACTATCGGTAAGGTTAAAGTTAAAGTATTCGACATTCTACGATCTTGTTACTCGAGCGGTTTGACACGCAGCTACCTCGTCTTCTTAATATGGTTGAGGTTAATTGCCCCACAGCACAGTTTGTATTTATATACTCAATTATGTCTGGGCAATTTCTGTGTGGACGTAGTTAAAAAAATATCTATTGTTTATTATCCACAATGCAAGCTCTGTTAGGTTTCGAACAAGACACCGCTGCGTGATTATAATGTCTAGGTCTATTTATTTAATAATTATCTATTCTATACAACATATAATTGTATTGCCTTTTTTATTAACAGGCCCTTTAGGAGATAAGTTTGCTCGTCTGTGGGAGGAGGAAGTAGCTCGTGCTGGCAGCAAGCGTACACCTAGTCTACTACGAGTGATTGTGAGAGCGTATGCTGCGCGATGTATGCTGTACGGCATTGTCCTGCTGTTCATGGAATGTGGGATACGGTGAGTGAATACTTTAAACGAATTGAGAATCTATGGTAATTTGTATATTTTTTGTATAACAGATATTAATAGTTAGCTATGGAGATAAAAAGTTAAAGATACTTGCCTCAGAGGCTACGCATTAGATTTTTTTCGGACTACTCTAATGCTGTTGGCTGTAGCTGGCCTTTACAGTTTCACCGGACGATATGGGGCGTGTGCAGATGGCACTCCAAACCCGCGGAAGGACTTATGGAGCAGCTGAAGGGCAACTCCTGTCTGATGGATACGACTTTACTTTCAGTCGTAATTTCAATCCCCGTTTGAATTGGACGGGGGATCGATCGGAGGGCAAACTAAACAATGACTTGATTTAAAAAAAAGATTGAAATTATCTATTATCTGCATATACTGTAATAGAGCTTTTGTCATATTTTTCATTGATTATTTCTTCTAGATACTTTGTATGTATAGTCAACATTCCGAAATAGTATTTAAAATAAATAATCTTTTCTAATATATAAAATTCTCGTATCCTAGTAATAAAACTCCCCCGAAACGGCTTGAACTGAAACTTTTGTATATTCAGTAGGTCTAAGAATAGGATGTAAACTATTTTTCATACCCCGATAGTCCACCCTAATTTTCTGGACATAAATTTAATCTTATTTTGTTTTAAGATTCAGCATTAAAAAATACATGCATTTCTAAGTTTTCACCCTTCTACCATGAATCCCAATTTTTTAATAGCTGTGGTGATTTATATGGCAAAATAACGTTTGCCGGGTCAGCTAGTTCAAATATTAATAAGAATAAGTTATCAGTATAGAAGCAAGCAATAGTGCTATATTCAATTGTAAAAAGTGTAGATCTGGTACACGTTACGTGAGATAAAGTAATAAGTATAGGTATAGATCGTGTAGAGTCGAGAATACTGTGTCTTATCTACGTTCACAGATTTATTGCTTTATGACATACTACTGTTTATACAACTGATAAGATTATAGTATTACTTTTATTGTATTGTATGATTACGGTCGGATGAACAGCTGAGCAAGTCATTGCAATAAGAAGCCGTTACACCGTGTATGACAAATTAATCGTATCACGGTTTCGTTTTACATGTGATGCGTAATGATAACCTATTACGCACGTGATTTGTAATAAACGGGTCTTGTTTTTTGTAAATGAATGGTAACTATTTCTTCAGTCTGTATTATTTTTTAATCTGTTCCACATTTAATTTGACTTCTTTGCCCGGTTTAGTATTCCACATAAGCTTGAATAGGTCAGCAAGGCCTATTCAAGCTTATGTGAACGAATTGATCAGTCAGTCAATATTTCTTGCTTAATTTTTATTATAATTAAATTGATTTTGTATAGCATTAGATATAAACTGTAGTATAGTGAAACTTCTAAAGCATATTTTAAAGCTTAATAAAAAAACAATCAATCATTTTTAGTATATAGTATAACTTGGTTACTTATTGAAATCTTTAAATATGGCATAGACACTTACGATTTTTATGCAAATTAGTTATCCTTTTGCAATTATCGTGAACAGGAAGTGACAAAGTCCAGTGACTAATAACCGTAGATCAACGCGAACTACTCACGCGAACAGTACGTATGACCAATTACAGTGCTGTGCAAATAGTACGTTTTGACAAATGTTGGTAAACACTTGTAGAAATAGGTCTGGCAACAACACACAAGTCACTAAATATCTGGACGTGTGCATTAATTAATTTTTATTGCACTAGTTGAGTTCAAAGCTTGTTTACATGGTACTGGGTACAAAGTTTACAACTTTTTTTGTATAAAACAAATACTAAGTTTTAAGTTTACAACAATAATACATTAGAAAAAACCGCACGCAATTGGTATTAGTTCCGTTACGTTGATGAAATCTACAATAAAGTCAAATAGAATTAAAATATTGAGAATTTTTAAATTTTCCAGTAAAAATGAAACTATCACTGTTATAACACTAAAAAAGTTCAACATACTAGTAATAACACTTATGATGTTTACATTATTAAATATTTTAACAATGATAATAACAGTAGGTATATGTTACATACCTACATATTGAATTATCACTGTTAACGAACAGTGAATAAGCTAAACGTGTAGATCATTTGTTCACATATTTAATTAAATCTCATATATTTCAATTACGATCGAGCATAATATGGTCTGCTTAATATTATTCTGCGCGTCTTATCTGTATCGTAGTAATCGGTGAAAAATGCTCGCAAGGCCGTTTTCGGGTCTTCCTTCTTTGTCAAACCTTATATAATTGATAACAAATACGGCGCCGTAGACAATGCGCTGTATTGTATGTAACGTCTCGTAGTTGACTAGTAATGGAATTTTTACAGCTAGGTTTTTTTATGTAATTCGATTAGCAAACGAGCTAACGTTCCACCTGATTGTAAATAATCGTATATCTACACTTAATATGATAAAGAGGTGACGTTTGTATGTTTGTTTGTTCGTGGTAATACCCGTTCAGCACTACAAATTAAAAATTTAGTTCAGTTTTAGAAAGATTTATATCCTTGAGTGCTATAGGCTGTAAATCACAGGAGAGAAGCAGAAATGACCAATCCACGACCTGTTAATCATGATAATTTCGAGGAGACCGCGTGACTTTCGGGCCTGACAAGCAATACACCTTCTATTGCTAGGAATAGAAACCACAAAGAATACTCCCCTAAATGATGATGATTAAAAGTGATATTCCTAATAATCTCCTTTCTCCATCATGTCTATATTCCTTATGCAAAGTTTATCTACGTTGATTAGTATTGATATTATTTGATGTCAGTACAGCTTATTACTTATTAATAGATCCTGACAGTGGCTTGGCGGCATCGTTCCAAGTATCGATGATTGATGTCCCCATCAATAATGAAAGTACTCAAACAGCAACAGCGTAACAATGGAGTAACGCTCAAATTATGTTGGACACACGTAATCGATACTTCTATATAACTCAGAAACATTTTCTGTTTACTGTTATAGGAATGTCAATTTGTGAAAATTAGGATTTTTTCTATGGTTGCAATGTTTTCTATAACAATAATTGTGTATCATTATTTTTTATCGTCACACTATCATAGCTTTTTATCAAGAACTTAATAACACCTACATATAGTAGGTACTTAAATATAGTTAGTCTGTGTAAGGAAGAAGATGAGCATTCACATTAAAATATGATCTTTGTAAACATGTTTTAATTCATAATAACAATGCTTTGCGTAGACTACTTTTTATAAAGTCTGCATGGGTATAAATTTATCTAGTATACATATAATGCCAGTCTTGTTGGTTCACTGGGAAGGTTTTCCTCATACTTTCGTCTTCATACACAATCATATTTTTGTTCTGTGTGTATTCAATAATTGTGAAAATTCTTTTTTTCATGTCTTGATTATAGAACAGTACATTTGCCTGCGCTAACAATGTAGATAATAATTAAATTAGTTCGGATCGTGGCGAATGTACCAGGAATTATCCAAGATGGTTTCCAAGGATAGCGTAGCTTGTCAACTTGACTTGGTGTATTGGTAACAATGGACCACTAATTCCCATTACGAAGGAAGCAAGCGCCTCGATTTGCCGATGATTAGAAATGACATGATTAAATTTATATTAAAGTTGTACTGCATTTAAATAATTATAACTATGTAAACATTACATATTATATATCATATTACATGTTATATATATATATCAGTATGCAAATTCTGAGTGTCTTTATATTAAAGTTTGAGTGATAATGATTGCTTTTAGTACGATGCTCGACAATGACCGTGGCAATGACAGAATTGCTAGTCAATGACGATTTCGTTACCTAACACGAAGTGTCGTAAAACGAGTCTTGTACTCACTTACGTATACATGATTATTTTTATACTGGAGGTCGTTTATCTCCGATCATTCTTAGACCTATACCTATCAATCTAAGTTAACTTTAACTAAGTTTGTGGTTTAACTATGTTTATGGTTAGTAATAGACTCGTACTCTATTATTCATGACCTTTCGTTCAATCAGTTTCAATCCAGAACTATCCTATTTGTATAATCATTTCTTTCTTCTTATTTTTCATCATCACCTTTCTTCGGTGCGGTATATGTACTACATACATGTACTACACCATTCTGAACATTCAATAATGTATTATTTTGTTACGAATAAATCGACTGGAGTCTCGAATATTAGCTCCTGATGTATGTAGGTAGGTACTAAACCTACTGAATATTAAAGAATTATATCTAAATATCGTTTCTGAATTGCCGAAGTTATTGTGTCATTTATATTGAATTGAAATTAGAACCTTTCCAAAGTAGTTACAGGGAATTGTTAAAAAAAAGTTAATTCCTTATAGTTGATAGTGGTATAATCTAGGTTTGTCAACATTTCTAACATAAAGACATCCTTATTTTTTTGTTATGGAGGAGTGGTATGAAGGAGCAATTATTTGAAAGAGTTACTTGCAACACTTCAGTATTTTGAGAACCAATTTTGTACGAGATGTTATTTTTAGGTAGCGAAACTGATTTCCCGTCACGTCATGTTTAACAGTTCTAGGAAATGTACTGACGGTATCTTTATACCGCCTATATTCTAAGTGTATAGACTAAGTCAAGAAAGTATACTGGGATTATCCGTCGTTTTTAAATTTAGAATTTTATTTAATTTCACTATGAGACCTATAAAGAAATATACATCTTTTCTAAATACTCACAAATCTACAACATATTCTCATAGACCAGACTCTGCGTTGACACCTGTAGTGTATTGTATATTCCTTACGATACCAAAAAAATATGAACATTATTATATTTACTCTCAAAACAATAATAATGTATTGTAACCTACAAAGATGCTTACTAGTATTTGCTTCAAAATAGCTTATCTCGTCCCGGGCACGACGGAAATAAAGGGTTTTATGACGTATTCTGTCTATTCTGCAAAATATATATATGCGTATATATAAATTTTGTAAAAACTAGAGAAAAGCACGTAGGTATGCACGAATTAAAAAATAAGTATTCATGATATACATGTATGTACATTTGAAATAAAACTTTATTAGATCTACAACAATTGTGTAATAACCTTGCGGATTATATAATTACAAACTAAAATACCTGTCTTAACAAACTAAAAAGTAATTGTACTTGAAAAAAATCGATTTATTTCGAAGTGTCGTCACTCAATTTTCCAAGTGTCGTGGTCGTATTTTTAGATGTATGTAGAACCAACCATGAAATCGATGATAATATTATATTGTATTGTCATCACATTTAGAATGTGTGTGCAACTGAAAATTGTTAGCATGATGAATTAATGAGATATCGTACATATCCTGTACTTACAATACAGAACAGGACCGACAACAGCACAGACGCTCCGGCATCATTCATCAGTACTGTGATATGTTCAAACCAATCTTTATTATTAATATTATTATAAATATCAGAGTATGTTTGTTTATTTATTACCTTTTCACGTATAACTGAATCTTAATTAAATTTAATGTGAAGATAAATTGTACCATTTTTTTCAGAGATCTCTTTCCTGGTGAAAGAGATCCCCGAAAAAAAGGTAACCGAAGTCGCAGAGAATATCTAGTCTCGTATAGTCAATAGTTCTGTTACTTTCGTGGTAAAAAAACTATACAAAGATATTACATTTGATAAATTTGGATAAAAGATAAAAAGAAATGCCAAAGATGTTTAAAATATTCGGTCTGTGACCGAATTAGATTCGTGTGCCGGCAGTTGGCACGACTACTGGTTAGGTCAAGGTTTCCTGTAAAATTGGCCTTCGTTAAAGTTTCGAAGAACACTGGGTTAATGCCGCGTCTATTGTATTATCTCTCTCACTTTGTCATGGGAGATTAGTAAGGGAGGCGAATGGTATGATAATTTATTTTTATATGCGGCCGTGTCAGTATCGACATAGGCAAATATTGATGTTGATGTTGGCCTACTTAGGTGTACCTTGCAATAATATTGAAACCGTTGAATTATGAAGGAAATTAAATTATTCAACACATTCCATTAACGACTTTCAGATCCTACAAATTGATCATGTTACGTATTTATTATTTATGTTGTCAGTACAAATAATAAGAATCTAATGGAGTGATGACTTATTCCTTTATAATTTCGAAAACAGAATTAATTTTACCTTTTTCTTTATTATATTATTCTTTTATGATGGTTCTTTTTGTTTCTAGTTATTGATTTGTATTGATTAAGTAGTTAATTAAAGCTTTGTAATATGTTATCAAAGTAGTTAGCACAAGTAGAAATAAGATCGAGCATTTATTAATTTTAAGGTTTAGTTTCTAATAAAAATTGTCAATAACCTAGGTACAATGGTATAAATACCACGCCTAACTCACGCATATGTGTTATTTACATAACCATTTATATATAATGGCAGTCGAGTAGTAACAATTAAATTTATGAAAATAAACAATACGAAACAACTTCCTGTAACTTGCATAAAACTGAAACTGTATTTCGTCATCATTTATGACAAATGAAATTGCAGCATACCTACGTTATTTACTACAGTTGCTAAGTTTAGAATGGAAGAAATGTAATAAGAGATACGTTTATATAATATAAGTTTTAAATAATTTATTATATTGGAATATTAATTTGATTTAGTTCAACGTGATTTGGAAATAATCACTTCTATATATTATTTAGAAAGATAAGAGAAAATTAATCTTGTGTGTTGGTTTCAATACCTATTGCTGATGTGATGTCCCGAATAGATCAACTTACATTTATTGGTTGTACGAATATTATAAAACGGTAAGATTTTATTTTATGTATGTTTATAATGGGTAAACTCAGACGTATATTAAAAATTATTTAACATATAAATATAGCTAATATCTGTGAGAAGGTAATATAAGGTAAATATAGAAATACTAATATATATTACCCCGGGCAGCGCCCAGGAAGCACTTAGTATAAATATAAAAAGAATGTTTAAAGTATCTCTGTACACATAAAATAAATACACAACTTTGGCAATATCGAAAATGGTTGCGGATACTTTTGCGAGGACAATTAAACAACTACATCCGAAATTAAATGTAATGATTGTAAAAATATCGTAATAAATTGAACTGATTCAATTTTCCCAAATTTGCATTTTTAAACCTTTGTGATATTCATATAGAGCAGTAATAAGCCCGACTTTAAACAATGTACCTATATATCTATATAAAAGTATAACCACATCGAATATTTTCTCTAACGTCGTAATAGGTACAATGTATGAACTTTGGCACGTCTAATACATTCCTATTTCGGTTCACTTATTACTCATTTATTGTTGTGTGACCTAATAAATCGTCGTATGGTATGCATCTCGGTTTCTGACCGGTAGGTAGGTATAGTATCTATCTCTATAGTAGCTCCGTTTAATGCAACAATCAAAAATATACTCTAAATATACATATTATAGTAGAAGAGCTACTTACAATATTTTTTATCCGTATAGTTAGTAAACATCACGATATCTTTCCACGATTTTTTTTTAATGAGTAAAAAATAAAAATAAAACATAATAAGATTCCGTGATTTTTACTAATTTAATAACTTTATTATATGTAAGTAATGACCGCGTCTTTAAAACATATTTTTTAATAAATAAAGTATGTTTTCACTAACATTTTATGCAAATTATTAATGAAAACTTGCTATTACTGGACTGTTACCACCAGCTGGACTGTTAGCTCCTCTGCAATTTCAGTTACATAAAAAAGTTACCAATAACATCTTATAAGCCTAGTTCTCCATTCCCAGCTCCCTAATCCTTCATTGTATCCTTTCCCTCCAGGATCCAGCAGCCTCGCATGCTTGGTTTGTTCATCGGATACTTCAGCCAGTCCGAACATCTGCTTTTGCGTGAGCAGTTGGCTCGGCTCTATGATCAAGTCTTGCAAGCGCAAGTTGTCACTCCTAATTCTACTAAGAAGTGAGCATCTCTGCTCTATTATCTATTGTAGATCTAATACTGATGATTAGTTAAATCTGCCTACACTTCGGAATGTAGTGCGAGCCAAGAAGAAATGACAAGAACCTCTGTTCTCACTCCATTCAAATGCAATTGTACATCGTAATAGTAATATATAATTATTAAAACATTGGTTTAAAGTGAATACAGTGAGCATCAGTAAATGCTATTAAATTACATGAAATAATTCAACAGACATAACTTGATAATGTTAACAGACTTGTACCCAAAATCAGATTTATTCCTGAACATCATGTGCGTGAATATCTAAGAATATAAAATGCTTTTTATGTTGTATGATCTAACAAATCCTCGTTTATCCCTCATTCCTTCAAATTATATTTAATGTGAATCTATTTTTCTATGAAATGTATACGTCTTATAACAGAGATGAATTTCTTTAAATCACTGCGGGTAATATATACACTCTTTGGATATGTAATAAAGATTTTGAAATCGTATAAATTGTCCAAAAGTTTTGCCTAATGTTTTTATCCATTCTTATTGTGCATAAACTTTTAAATCGTAGGATAGCCCAGCCGGTGTTTCTGGGTAAACTCGTCGAGTACTACAGTCCAGGAACGCACAATATTCAGCGAAATGAGGCATACTTCTATGCAGGCGCCGTGGTGCTGTGTTCCGCTCTCAATGTCTTCGTTGTGCATCCATACATGATGGCCATACTCCACATGGGTATGAAGTTCAGGGTAGCCTGCTGTTCACTTATTTACAGAAAGGTGAGTTAAACTTATTGATTAAAATTAAAAACTATATTTGATTAGATTATTAGTAATTAAATAGGACAAACATTATTTTATTATATTTTTGTGTTTAAAAATTATTTGTGATTTGAATAGTCAATGTTTGAATTAGATTATATAAATACGTGTATATTCTAAACTTTTACCGTTAATTTGCTATTCGAATTTGTAACTTTAATATTCATTACCAAACTACAATATCTATATACACCATTAATCTGGATTACTAAATAACATGCTCTAAGACTATGCATACTTATTTATTTACGTGAAGTAAGAGACGCATATGACTTCAATATACATGTAGTCACTTGTGCTGCCTTCCTTATTTATAGGGTAATACAGAATTGGAAGTGTGATCGAAATAAACATTTTACATTTCTTAAATGATGGGAAGTTTTATTTTAAATATAATAGAATAAAATAAATCGCGAAATTACTTATCGCGAAGTTTTCAGTGATTTATATGTTTCATAGCCTCCGTATATATATGCCAGTAAAAACTAATTAAATTATTCATGCTTAATCATAACACAGTCTATTATTTTTAGCAAAGATTATGTTTAGATGATATTTACAGCATAACTAATATGAATGTATGGTGGGTATAAAATAAATCACAGCAGTAATAAATAAAATTACTTACTTTGTGAGAACTTACGATACTGTTAAATATACGAGTGCTTATCTTATCAACGTACCTTCGTGCTTTATTTAACATAGAGACGGCTATTGACTGTATAATCTTCAATCAAAGGTCGACTGGTAGAGAATGCTTTTAGCATTTAGTACCGTTTTATTTGATCCATAAAGTTATTTGAATAAATATATATTAAAGTTAAATAAAAAGAGTCTATATTATATTATTATTTTGTATTCTCTGTATAACTGGATATCTTACTATTTATTCCCATTTTTGAGAAACTAAACTAAATTAGCCGGGGCATACCATAGTAGTCTAATTTAGGTACAACATATTCTAGTCTATGAATAATAAAATCTGTATTGTATTTCCTACACGTTTAATACTAAATAGAGATCTTTCAATTATTTAATAGACGATAATTTTACACTATATACATTAGACTATCAGGGTCTTTTTGCATTCCATCAACAGAATAAATATTTTACATCCTCTGCAATTCCACGCACTCCATACGTCATACCTATTTTGGAAAGTCTTATAAGATTTTACAGTTCAATCATTCACATTGAAGTGTACTAAAAAGGTTGATTTATGTGTCAGATTTGTGTATGACTGAGCTACGAGCTGAGCCCACCTTCGTACCCGCGTGGCGTAGTTTATCAATAGTTTGTTCATAAAAACCGATTAGAATGAAATTAAAAACAATTATGTGACGCTGGAATGATTCACATAATAGTTTAGTTAATTAGTTTTTTAAATGTTAAAATATAATCAAATCGGTTGTAAACAAACAGAGAAAAATCTAACAAACATTGTTTTGAGTTCTGTTACGTTAATAAAGTTTACCAATAATAGTTTTTCTCCTTATATCTTGTATGTACAGAGGGTGACTAGTTACATTTTAATTCTATGCATATATTTGTATACTTTATACTGTATTCCTTTTTATATTAGTTTTGAAATGAATTATTTTGTTAATCGGTCTACCTCTCCTCTTAAACCTAACTTATTGCAACATTAAATCAGTATCACTTTGACTTCGACTCCGACTTAACGTGTATGATATCATATAAGGGATATTGCAAAATTATCTTTCTCCTGTGTAACTGTTATATCACGAATATTTAGATAAATCGATAAATTGTGAACTGTATGTATTGTAGGTACTGTTTATATATTAATTTAACGTATTCTATATTTGGTTGTTATAGTATATTTATTATATTCTAATCTGTCGATGTCAAACAGTCATATTATATAACATTCAAAAGTAATTTATATATTAATATTTCTATTCGGATACTCAATTATTAATTGTTCGAATGAGTTTTAGAATAAAAAAATACTGTTGAATAGTGATATAATCTTTTTACATTTATTTATATATATTTTAGTTTAAGATCTTTTTAATTTCTATATTTTGTTGTTTCTCTTGTATTTACATTAGTTTTTAACTGATCGAGCGCTCGGCTCCGTGTTAGTTATGTTGTAATAAATCTTTCTTACATTGCTAGAACTAATATCGTACCTTCTATTTTTTTATGACTGGTCTGTCTTAAACAAAGAAGATGAAAAACGACGCTTAAATTTCAGAAATGCTACCTGCCCTCCGACCGATCCCCCGTCCAATTCAAACAGGGATCGATATTACGACGGCCTGAGCAGAGGTTTGCCGGCCTAGCGGTGCCCTCAGACTAAAGTCGTATCCGTCAGGCGGGAGTTGGCCTTCAGCCGCTCCATATGTCCTTCCGCGGGTTTGGAGTGCCATCTGCACTCGCCCCCTATCGTCCGGTGAAGCTATAAAGGCCAGCTGCGGCTAACAACATTAGAGTAATCCGAAAAAAAATGCTACCAATACTGATACTTTTTATATACCGTATAGGTAGACATACACATAGTCATATATATCTATACACATACATAAATAAGTGCCTAATAATTATCAGGCAATGAAATGCATAAAATGATGCATAAACGCCCATCGCCTTATGTATAATATTTCTTACAGTCGCTGAGGCTGTCGAAAACGGCCCTCGGGGAGACAACAGTGGGACAAGTAGTGAATCTTTTGTCTAACGATGTGAACCGATTCGACGTAGCAATAATTTTTCTGCATTACCTATGGATTGGACCGCTCGCCACCATCATCATCACATATTTTATGTGGCTGGAGATTAGTTGGGCAGCGGTTGTTGGAGTAGCCTTCATGCTGGCTTTCATACCATTACAAGGTATATTTATTGTTTACATTCTGTCACGACTTTTATTCCAGATGGGATAGAAAGAGTGAGAGGCAATATCAATTGGGAATCCTATTATATCTTTGTTATGTATTTCCTTTACCAGCAAATCAGTCATATATATATATATATATATATAAATCTTATATATATATATAAGATTACACACAAAGTTATTTTTAACGTCGGTCAGATTCGACTCGTAATCTCGGGAGAGTAATTTAGTCATACAGGCCACGATGCTGTTATTGAAAATATCCCACATGTTAACGACCTGATGAAAGCTGGTAACTATTGACATGAACAATATAACATTGCTGAAAATGTCCATGACATCTTCAGCTGTGTGGCGTTTGCAGATGATAATGTAGAGATGTCTATGATAATATTACGGTCCAAACCGAAATGACGTACACCGGTTCCGAAATGAAGTTCACTGCGGAAATAGGACGTTGATATTTACCCAGCTGAGCTTCAAAACTGTACTTGAAAAATGTCCCACCTGTTTTTGTGTACTGTCAACGCATCATAAAATAGTACTGTACGAGTTTAGTAACAGCCAGAAAATGCAAAAATATCTTTGTTATAATCTACAAACTGACTATAAATATTGGTGAAATTATTAGGTTGAAGTCCTAATATATCTAAAACTTGAAACTTAGGTTTATTTTAAATTATTTATGAACGAGCTCACGAACATTAAATATATAAAAAAGGATATATGAATGAATATAAAATGTACAATAATTATTCAATTTAACACATGATATAAAAGGCATAATTACGGTAAAAATATTATTTATGATCTGCCGATATTTCTTAAATAATGTAATGACGTCGAATATCTTGTTTGTATAAAGTTGTTATAAAATATAAAACAGTGTTTTTTAATTCAATATTATTAAAATGATAAATAATATTTGTTGTAATTGTTGCTACTATATATATATTTACCTTCTGTTATAGCTGATAAAATATGTGAATGCACTTACGTATTCAATGTCCTAACGCACCTAGTTAAGTAATATACATAACAACCCGATGACCTACAATCAACATATTTTTCTACTTGCAATGCTGTCTATCACTTAGTTCATTAAACTGCCCTTGCATTGTACACGCAAAATAAATATTTTTATTCAATACAATCAAGTCATAATTGTGGTATACAAAAACATCAGATTATATTTACGATCATAGTTATTTCAATAGTTAATTTTTATTTTTATAGTCTTAAAATATTACACCTTTACTATACTCGAATCCACAGGTATATCACCATGTGATTGATTAATTTATAAGTATTATTTTGTGGCGCACTGTATTCCTTTATGTACAATAGACAGTAGACACAGTAGTAAGTTACTAATTATGAAAATATTATTTCGCAAACGGCTGTTAATCATAAGTTGTAAAGATATAAAAGTGATTACAATGTACAAAGAATTTCGTTGATACAGTCAGTTTGTATATATAGAGATAAATATCCTAAAACCTAAATTACACAATAAATAAAACCATGTGTCGTGATATTTATCCAGCATAAACTTAGAAAAATCTTAACATATTTTTTTACATTTATTTGTGTCAATTTGCTAACGTTCAAAGTTCGGTAGTTAACTTAAACGACCCAATATCTTTTTTTCTTCCTGTCATGAAGATTGGACAAAAGAAAATTTGACAGGTCTGCTAGTAGGATTATAAACTACAACTCTCTTATACATTGATTGATATAAATGCGGTAAATGTAGTACAATGTATTGCTTCTCATTACTTCGGCCTCTTCGATTCTAAACATCTCAACAACCAGTGTATATGTCACACTCTATATACATTATTGTGAGTATTCAAATATATATTTATTTCTTTTGAACAGCATATCTGGGCAAACGCACATCGGTCTTGCGCCTGAGGACGGCCTTGAGGACTGACGAGCGCGTACGGCTCATGAACGAAATCCTCTCTGGCATGCAAGTTATTAAGATGTATACATGGGAGAAACCTTTTGCTGACCTTGTCGCTAAAGCCAGAAAGTTAGTATGCCTCTATTTATTTATTTTGTAATTTAAGTTTAAAAATATGAACAATGCTGTTTTGATATGTTGTGTGTGTGTGTGTGTGTGCGTGTAATATTGTTATGTTTAGGATAAAGATATTGTGCCACTCAAAAAATTATTAATGGTTTACCTGAAGAATATATTACTACGTAGTACAATAGCTTTGTACCCCTTTTTACGAAAATTACGCGGATGAAAGAATATAAACTTCGCACCCTTATAGTTTATATAGAGTAGTAGTGCAGAATGCTAATATTTTTTTTAAATTATGCATCAAAAAGTAATTAAATCAATAAAAAAAAACATTACACACACTACGTATTTGACACACACACGCCTATATACTCTTTTACTTATTGCTATAGACAATGGTCAAATTGAGAAAATATTAATATTGTTCTTTAATTTTATTTGTAATATCTTATTTAAATATGGTTGAATTTCGACTACTGGGCGATCACTCCTAGTTAATAATTATCTAACTCAGAACAAATCACACAGCACCATGTAGTCCCAAACTAAGCAAAACTCGTTCTAAAGTTGTACGATCACATTCAAGAATACATAATTTTCTATTATGTTTGCATCCAGCCTATGACCATTGTACTTCCTATGATCATAGGTTGGATACGGCGTGATAAACCTCATGCCCACCAAGGCCTTTACCAAGATTATTACAGATTGTATAAACTATCCTACCATTTAGACCGTAACTTATTTTTACCTTTGAATTAAATAGATAAGTGGAATGTATCTCGTTGTACTTACAATATCAAGTCCTTCTATTGTTTTACTATAAGGACTACAATTTTATTATACGGCAGTTTTACTTTACTACTCTTTAATTATGTCTTTAATTGTGCAATTACGTATTTGTTAATTAATAGCAGATAACATTATTATCTATCTATATAATAAATTTATGAAGAAAGAGTTTAAAAGATTACTAATTTTAATTGCTATTTATATAATATAATATTGTTTAAATTTTATTAGAAATATAATACAGTAATGATTGTTCAAGGAAGGAAAATAAAATAATAAATATTCCTTATTTTCTATTGCCAATAAACATTTAACTTTGTTCTCGTAGGACATTCCATATTCTTCGCTTCTATGAATTAATTTATGCTAGCAATATACCATGTTGGGTTGATTGGCTCTGAAAACCTTCCCGTTAAATTCCTGATGAACTTGACTTCATATGATACTCATCTAATCATCCTCACTTTTGCACATACAACGTATACATTTAGCAGAAGGAGGTGAACCATTTCATCATCGTCCATTTAAAAAATACCTTTCCAATATTCTTCTCTGATTTAATTATTATAGTAATAGTTATAAAATATAATATATTTTTTTACAGACAGGAAATTAAGCAGATCCGCTCGACGTCGTACATCCGCGGCGTGCTCACCTCCTTTATAATGTTCACGACGCGCATATGTCTGTTTTGTTCTATACTGGCGTTTGTGTTGGTCAATAACATGATCACTGCCAAACAAGTGTTCGTAATCACCAGCTTTTATAACATACTACGGCAGACTATGACCGTATTCTTCCCTCAAGGTGAGTTAAGTTGAATTTATTAATACCACTACATGTCTCCCACAACGCGGTCCACCACGTGCGTTTTATTCGAAAACTACTATACATTTATATACAATATTTCATTTTAATCCTTGTTTGTGTGATTAAATACTCAAACATAGATTTTTTCGCATTTATAATAATAGTACGATAGCAACAGAATTATATTATTTATTATAAATTCTTACTTAGTTACTCAACCAGTTGATTGTGAAGTTAATATTTTGACTCTAATGAATTAGTGTTATTTGGTAGTTTGTATTCACTTATTTTAGCTAAAAAATGTTAAGTTACATCAGCTATTTAAAAGAGTAACCCGGGAGGTTCTTGCTCACTCTTCTTGTGATGGGACAGTTTTTCAAATTAGTGACAGATTAACAAAATAAGTATAGCTATTCAAAAGTGCATTAATTTAAGTTTATTTGAAAAAAGAATTATTCTATCTATTATTTTGTAAATACCAATAACTCTAAATATTGAGAACCCACTAAGAAAAATATTGCAACGAAATATACACATCAGCACCATTGGCTTCTTGCTTATCCCATTAATTTGAGAACGGAGTAAGCAAAAATATTTTTTATTATTAACAAAATAATACAAGGCATATGAAATACAACGAAATAATATATAGTATAAGCATTGCTTCATTCTGTTGCTAACAGAAATATTATATTTGTGATGTACCACTAGAACAACAGATGACACAAAATTTTATATATCCAATAAATTTGTTGGGAGAATAATTTCTTACAAAAGATAACATGCTGGATTGTTAGGTCACTTTGCTAATAGTATGAAAATCGAAGGAATTTCATAAACAATGTAATCTTTCTAAATGCCGTCGACCTGGTCATCTGAATATTGTCATTTGTTAGGTTGAACTTTGATAATAAATTAGCTACTTGTATGCACCTATATATTTAGTAGGTTTTTATTATTAAAGTATTGCTGTTTGCATAGAAGTTATAGAAAAACAATTCTCTATCTATTTAGTACGGGGCCCTGGTATTTATAATATAATTATCTTTAGCACGCGACTTTGCATGCATAATGTCGTTAAGTTGTAATATTAAAAAGTTTGCAGATTTTTACGGTTACTTTGTAAAACAAACATATAAGAATATTTTCATAATTTCAGCGCCTTAAACTTACTAGTTTTAGGTACGGTGCGGTTATTGACAGTGACGACATACAATTTTACAATTATGATTATTATGGGGTTGTAAATAAAGTTCCGATTCAGAATAGAAAATGTATTCCCTTTACATTTTTTTTTTCAATTATATATGTCAAAAATGTAAATGTCACAAAATATTATTATTGGCTTGTTCAGGGATCGCTCAAGTAGCAGAAGCCACAATATCCATAAAACGTCTCCAAAACTTTATGCTTTATGAAGACACAACTAAACCCGTACCTGGACTGGCTGAGATACAAACCTCAAGGAAAAAAGCAGATGAACCAAGCCAAGAGCCAATAAAAAATGTTATAAATAATTCAAAAGAAGAATCTAAACACTCTGGAATCTCATCGGAATCTGTTGAACCAAATAATCTCGAAGAGCCCAAAGGCAATGGTAAGGATTTATTTTTTATTCACATATCGGAAGGATAAACAAGCCGAGGTCCCACCCTATTGAAAGAGACAACCCTCGCCTATATGGAATAGTACCGCAGATATCATGTAATGCATTGTGTTGCTTGTGGCACCTTTTATGCCTATATGCATAAAAGGTACAATGTGTGTACCTTTTGTACAAGAATGGATTACCATTCTTGTACACTAGGTATTGTACAGTAGTACTGTATTTATTCTGCCATATTGTCAGCCTCGGTGGTCTAGCGATTAAGCAAACCGTCTTACTCCCGATGGTCGCTAATCCATTCATCGCATGATGCATAGATCATGTATGTAGTTACAAAAAAATAATTTAAGCATTTGTATAAGTTGTCTAGTCACCATGATTGAATTACGAATGTTTACATAGTTTACTGATATGGTACATAGTTCGCATTACTTCATATTTTTTAATTAATAATCTCCCCCACCCCTTTCACATATCTAAGTGAATCTTTATGTGCGCTTATAATTATATTTGTAATAATAGGTAATGTGAATTTGGCACCTCTCGAGTCGGGAGAGGAGGATGAACAGGAGTTGTCTACACACTTAGACCAAGACTCCCGGGGCGTGAGACTAAAACATGCAACTGCTAAATGGATTGTCGCGCATCCAGAGAACACCCTCACAGATCTCTCACTCACCATCAAACCTGGCAAGTGAGTAAGCTTTGTGTAATGTATTAAAATTTAAACTATTTTCGTAAATGTACTTGTTCTATTTTATTGTTCGGTTTATACACAGTTATGATCGAGAAAGAGGGCGTGCGCGACGTCCATTCGTATATTTGAATTCTGCATACTACAATCGAGCGTGCTTTCGTAATAAATAATTATCTCTGCACAATGGCAGGCATCTGATCATAGAGCAAACAAGTAATTACAGATTTGTTGATAATTTACAAATATGTAATTACTTGTTTGATAAAAATTAAAATTGAATTTACTGTTTTTAATGTTAAAATTGATTTAAATAGAAATTTTATTTAAAATATATAAGCACATATATATCCCTTAAATATGGTGCGCTCCTGATCTCACGTGAATGAACGTTTCGCTAGAGACTTCTCTATAGTTGTAACCCATACCATATAGAAAAGTAGATACACTGTGGTTCTATAAAATTACCCTTTTGCGACAAATAAGCCTATGTCCGTCCCTGTGAAGACTTTATCTTCATATAAAACATCATTAAGATCCGTTCAGTCGTTTGGTTGTGAAAAAGTAACAACAGCCTTCGCATTTATAATACGAGTATTAACTAAGGATGTGTTTTAAGGGAATTCAAATATAGTTATTAAATTATGCAGATACCTATTGGGACTGATTGCTTGAAATTTGTTATGTTTGTTCATTTTCAGATTAATAGCAGTAATAGGACCAGTTGGCGCTGGTAAGTCTTCGCTACTCCACGTGTTACTGCGCGAGCTGCCTTTAACATCAGGCAGTTTGCACATCGGCGGAACCGTGTCTTACGCAAGCCAAGAACCATGGCTATTTGCAGGTAAGTCTACACGAGTCACAACTGTAAATATCCTACTCCTTTACTTTGTTAGATAATATTTCTTTTGAGAAATTTCTATGTCACTTGAACTTGTTATGGTCTTTAAAAATAAATATTTACTTTAGATGATAATAAAAAAAGTATGAATCTTTGTTAAGAATAAAGTAAAGTATATAAATACATAATGTTATTTGTTGCATTTAATATGAATATTTAAGTGAAGATTGAATTTGGTCATTGCTCGTTGTCAGGCAGCGTCCGTCAGAATATCCTATTCGGGCAACCGATGGACCGGCCGCGATATAACACGGTCGTCCGTCGGTGTGCACTTGATCGAGACTTCACGCTGCTGCCGCACGGCGACAAGACCGTCGTCGGAGAACGTGGCGTTAGTCTCAGTGGAGGTTTGATATATATTGTCTTTTAAATTTTAGTCTACATATGAAATCTCCGGCGGATAATTTTTCGATATTCATTTGTATGTAAAATAACATAACAGCCTCGTGAATTATTGTCGTTTCTAAAGTTCATTGATAAATTATTTGATTGACGAAGTAAGTGTTTAATGTGGGAAAAATATTATACAAAAATCCAGTACTAGAAAAGATATATAACTTGTTTAGTGATTGGCCAATACTTGTTTAGTTTCTGTACAGAAATATGAGCAGTAACGTTGTATTAACGAATAACTTTCTCTCGAAAAGATTGTAGTAGTACGTAATAAAGTTCATGTTTTACAAAAGGAAATTTGTGTTCCTTTATTTATTATTATAATTATATTTATTATAATTTTTACAAGCGCACGTATATCTTACGACGTTTGTCAACACTCTTGATTTTAAATAAACACTGCCATAAAACTCTGATGCTTTCACGCCGTTTTACTTTTTTAAATCAGCGCCTTACTGGCTAGCGCCGTGCGGTGCTCAGTTCGAAATTTGATAAAACTAAAAAATAGCCAACAGTGTGTTTTATAACGCTAAATATAATATTTTCGATATATAAAGCAACTCATAAGAGTTGCTTTATATATAGAAAATATTATAAGGCGCTGATTTAAAAAAGTAAAACGGCGTGAAAGCATCAGAGTTTTATGGCAGTGTTTATTTAAAATCAAGAGTGTTGACAAACGTCGTAAGATATACGTGCAAAACCATTGAAATTAAGTCAACTTTACGAGCAAGTCTGTTGAAAAATATACATATGTCATACGCAGGACAACGTGCACGCATTTCGCTAGCGCGTGCGGTGTACAAGCGCGCAGACGTGTATTTGCTGGACGACCCGCTGTCAGCCGTGGATGCGCACGTGGGCCGACACCTGTTCGAGTCCTGCGTAGTGGGCTACCTGCGGAATACCACGCGAATTCTTGTCACGCACCAACTGCAGTTCCTACGAGACGTTGACCAGGTGCGTACTATACACCATATATTTAGCCGTCATAAAACATCTATAGTGATGCATGAAACAGTACTTTATAATAAATATGTCAATAATAAGTTCTCGCTGTGACGCCAGTAACTTGTTGCTGTGTAAACCCTACTTTATTTTTTTCGTAATATCTCTCGTTCGATCTCTTCGTTAATTTGTATGATTCAAATTTGTTGTTACAACTTACATATAGTTTACCAATACTAATGATAGAAAATATTAGTGTAGTCTGTCAACTTATATTTCAATAATCAAGTATATAAAAATGGTTTACATGAGTACCTACAATATTGTATTTGGTTTGAAAATAACGATTATTGAAATCGTAATCTTTTTCCATGCAGATAATAATATTGAAAAATGGAGCAATAGCAGCTGCTGGTGATTTCGACACACTGAGTGCATCTGGACTTGATTTCGCGTCATTACTCGCGCGTAGGGAAGAAGAGGAAGAGAAACCATCTGAACAGACGCCGGCATCTGAAAACGAGGAGACGGTCTTACAAGGCAGCTTCCGGAAGAGACAGATGAGCATACACTCAGTACGTTATCATATTATTCATTACTGGTTTCCTTTTAAATTTTATGATGATTGACTAAGCGACTAAGGCCTGAATCCGTGTCATATACATATATAGTTCATTTATAATATTAAATCTCCAAAGTGGTCGTAATATATTAGAAGCTATGATTTTAGAAATTACACGACACTAGTTTGTTGTTTACTTGTTGGGTCTTAGGATATCGCGGATGAAAAAATTAGAAAAAGTGGTGTAAAAGCTATTTTAGATTTCTATGAAAGTTACATAAAGTCATGTCAGTTCGATCATTGTGGCGGATTCTGGAGAAATTTTTCACTATGATTCCAGGGAGGACTGATTAATAGAGTAAATTGCTGGCAATGGTTACATTACTAACAAGACGGACTATATTGTTAATGTAATATAATATTAGTATAGATATGTAAGAAGGGTATATCTTTACTGTCTCCATCGCCACACGTAGTTTGTAATGTATTATATATTAATGTATGTTCTATGTATTCTGTGCAATAAAGCGTATAAATAGTCTAAAATTACAAACGTAAAATGTAAGCTACATACATCACCGTCGCCCCGCAGGTAAGTTCAGTGGACAACCTGACGAGCACGGCGCCCCCGGAGGGCATGGAGGAGACGTCGGGCGGGTCGGGAGCCCGGGGCGGGGCGGAGACTCGTGCGGCCGGCGCGGTGTCGGGCGCCGTGTACGGCGCGTACCTCCGCGCCAGTGGACACGCGCTGCTCGTCGCCCTCATGACCTTCGTGGCCGTCCTGGCGCAGCTGCTAGGGTCCGCCTCCGACTGGTGGACGGCATTTTGGTGAGGATCGCATGCTTTTTAATTACTTATATTTATTTACACTTTTAACTAAATCTAATATAATTAATTTAAATTAAAAGTTTGAACATTATTGAAGTTCTAATTCAGGTTACTGCTACATACCTTTCTTTTTTATTAACATTAAATTTATATTTGTATGTTGAGCGAACAGTATTTCACTACTAAGTAATAAATGAATGGTAATGTGTGACGTTCAGTACAACTATAGGCTAATAATATTAAAGACAACCAATATTAATCTATATCTCAATTTGACCATAGACTTTAACGATAAATAAAGAAGGAGTATATATATATATATGCGTGTATCTGTAATACATGGTGCTGTGTGTAATAATTTTGTAAAGATTTCATATATTTTTTCTGTATAATTTAAAAAAATATGTAAGCATTCTGCACTTCTTTTCTAAACGCAACCACTACGTATGCTTTTTTACGAATATAAATCTGTTCCCGTATTGTACTCAATGTTCACATAAAATTTAAGCCGTTTAGATGGTATAAGGTAACAAACAGCTACGCTTTCGCATTTATAACATTTATGTATGGATTAACTTACTTATATATTTTCAGGGTGAACTTAGAAGAAGTGCATCCGTACGAAGCATTGAAGAGCAATATTAGTAACTCGTCACTACCGGAAGATCTCGGCGGTAACTACGAGAAGCCACTCGTAACCGATGTAGTGTACGACACCGTTGGTTTATCAAGATACGAATGCATATATATTTATACCGGTCAGTATTGGCAGCTTAGTTATTATTTCATTACTGATTTTAATAGTAAGAACTCAATACTTCCAAATTTGGGCTTTATCTAAACGTCTATCCATATAAATCTGTTTATAACATTGAAATAAGCGTTTTTTACTACATGCATATGCATATAAATACGGTACATACACCAAAATAACATTTTTTATAATTTTTGTCTGTCTGTTTGTTCCTGCTAATCTCTGAAATGGCTGGACCGATTTTGACGGGACTTTTATTGGCAGGTAGCTGATGTAATAAGGAGTAACTTAAGCTACTTTTATTTTAGAAAAATAAAGTTAAATTTCACGCGGACGAATTCGCGGGTACAGCTAGTTTGAAATAAATACTGATACTGTACGTATAACTACACAATAACAATTGAATCAGAATACACCTGGTAAAGTAGATATCCATCCGTAGGGCAATGTAAACATTTACGATCAGATCGAGGTCTTATGTTTGTTTTCTAACGAAAATTTGCTATTTTACGTAGTGTTATTATCAATCCTGAACCGATTTCGATAATTCTCTGTTGGTAGTGTAGTGCTAAATTTGACATTACCTATGTTGCCCGCTTTCTGATAATTTTAAATAGTACGTCACAGTAGTAGTCACAATCGGAATTTAATATTAATTAGCGATTTATATCGGTCACACTCAAATAACATGTGGGTGATTATTTAACATGCATTAACACAAAATAAATAAAGTATGTATAAATATTTTTTTTATTAACAGTTATTTCACTAAAATGAACCTTCTTATGTTATCTTATTTCTTAAAATATACACCTAAATAAATATTGACTGTTTGAAAAAATAAAAACAGTTGGTTCGTAGTTTAATGTCGTAAAAATTACTATATGTACATAAACTACAATTACAATATATTTTTGTGCTGTATTATACAAAGTAAATAATGGAAGCACTAGTGTACGTACGTAATTTTTTTCGCATTATTTATAATAATTTAAAAAAAATCTACTGGAAACTTCGTAGGAAGCTTTGAAACTGAAGCAATATTATTCAACAAATCAGTATCGCAGGTACATCACTACCCTAGAGCGGGTATTATTATTTGAAAATTTGACATTTCCACCTGTCCATTCAGTCTCCGAGATTAAAGAACAGAGTACAGTTTATATTAAAAATAAAATTACCTGACAGGCATGGTGGTTGCTCTAGTGGTTATATCACTATTGCGCTCATTCATGTTCTTCTCGATGGCGATGCGCGCGTCCACGCGGCTCCACAACAACATGTTCGAGGCCATCACGCGCGCGCCCATGCGCTTCTTCCACGTGAACCCCTCCGGCCGCATCCTGAACAGGTTCTCCAAAGACATGGGAGCCGTCGACGAGGTGCTGCCGTCCGCGCTCCTCGACGTTTTACAGGTTCGTGGGATAAGGAATGTATAGTCGACAAGGGCGACACCTTACTCTCTTAGGGATCATTTTTCTGTGCTATATTCAAAACTACTCTTACTTTTGTTTCAAAGATTAAAGGCAAACATAATTTGTATAATAAATTATGTTTAAATTTTAAAGTTATTCCTTGTGAAAACCTGGAGTCTGAACTAGGTTGAAACCTATAATATATGTACTACAGCCTTCAGGTCCTTACAGTACCATATTATACGTCTACACAACCACAGGTGGTCATACAGTTTGCTCTACCACTTCTAAGGTAACTTCTACTCGTTTTAAAGTAGTAAGTGGCAAGTGCTTAATCGATAACTGAGCGACCTGAAAATGTAAATGATTCAATATTTATGTCTCTGTTTATGTATATATAAATATTATTACTTACAGATCGGTCTATCGTTAATTGGTATCGTGGTGGTGGTAGCGGTGGTGAATTACTGGCTGCTGGTGCCTACATTCGCAATTGGCGTGGTGTTCTACATACTACGCATCTTCTATTTGTCCTCCTCGCGCAGCATCAAGCGCCTCGAGGGTGTGAGTGAGTCATCTCTGAGGCGATACGCCGCTTCTTTTAGTGAACACTGCCAAATAGCTGTGAACACGATAGCTTACACTTTCTTTAGTTAATTATTTATAGAAACTAGTGGTTGCCCAGTTGTCGAAATACGACCATTATTAATTTAAATTATAAGCTTGAACAATATTAAGGTTCTATTATATTAAAACTGTACTTAAATAACTAATATATATACTGTTATCAATGAGTTTATTATGGTATGTTTAACATTCAGTAAGACTATAGACAAATGAATATATTAAAGAAACAATATTAATCTATTCTTAATTTGACCACAGTCTTTAACAATAAACAAAATAATATATGTGCCTGTGTAATATGTGTGTGTGTGTGTGTGTGTGTGTGTCAAATACATGGTAGTGTGTGTAAGGTCGATTTAATATATTTTAGATACATAATAAAAAATATTGATTTAATATATTATTATAATAGATTAAATTAAATTATTATGATTACAATGTTTCTTAAATCTGTACTAAATTTACAACCATTAGTCATGGAATGATGCATTTTGCACATTGTAGTTTTCTGTTACATATATTAAAAAAACATTAATAATTTTGTTTATAGTAACAATTACTATAGATGTATTTTAAGTCGACGCAGTACCATTTTTTTAATTTTCTTGTTATTGAATTTTATACTTGTTCTATTCTTAATATATATTTATTGCGTTTAGCTATCTCTTAGATAGTATGTTAATCAGTGATCTTATTTATACAAAATAACATACTTAATGAGTACTGCTCAATGAGTCGTTGTCAATTCTGATGATCGTCAATAATAAATAATTATTCACTACAGGAAAGAATAAAAATCTAGTGACGAAATAAGCAGATTGTACTATGTTACTAGACTACTGATATACATATATTAATACAAAGATACTAAAAATTACAAAAAGGTTTCTATTGTATGGGATTCAAACCTGCTACCGTGTGAAAATGAGGCAGTGTGTAAAAATCGCTATACCAACGTTGTCGTTAGTATGTGTTGTTTAAGTGTTAATTGTTATATTATGACCGTCAGCTCGCAGTCCTGTGTTCTCGCATCTCAACGCTTCACTACAAGGGATCACAACTATCCGTGCCTTCGGCGCTCAAGAGGCACTCATTAGGGAGTTTGATAATCACCAAGATTTACACAGTTCTGCTTGGTGAGTAGATTTTAGTAGGCTCTGGCTCGCGGACTATTAATGTTAATAGTAAAATTAATTTTGTAAGACTTTTTTATTTAAATGTTACTGTATATTACAGGTATTTATTCATCGCGAGTTCTCGTGCGTTTGGCTTTTGGCTGGACTTGGTGTGCGTGGCGTACATAGCCATGGTGACACTTAGCTTCCTCGTTTTTGGACAAAGTAAGAATCTGTTTAAAAATACTTTTTTGTGATATTATTTATTCTGTATTGTAATTGTAATAAGGCAAATGTATAAGAATGAGCTTATTTCTAAAAAGGGATATCTTCCTAGATAATATTATAGAATAATGTGTTCACTAGATCAGCCATACATATGTGTAGGAGAAAAAAGTAAAGGATATTGTCGTATTTATAACAATATATAAGACAACCCTATAAGAATTAATAGACACACAGATATATATGAATAAATATTGGAATGGCCAACAAACTGACGGCACAACTGATAGTAACTGGTAATCGTCAGACATTTGATTCGGCTAATTATTTTTATATGAGTAATTTTATGGTACTAGTTGATTTACCAATAAATAATAGTTGAATAGTTTCTTGGTAGCTTAGCACAATAGGCATAACTAAAATAGCATTGTAAATAGAATTCGCAATTTTTTTTTCTATATATCAGATGAATACGGCGGTAATGTGGGGCTGGCAATAACACAGGCGATGGGTCTCACCGGCATGTTCCAGTGGGGCATGCGTCAGTCCACTGAGCTTGAGAACCAGATGACAAGCGTTGAAAGGTAATAAGATGCTATATAATAATAATAATTAATTCTGGCCAATTCACACAGCGATCAATTATGAACTCTAAACTTGGGACTAGATGAGGTAAGCCATGCTTGTGTTATGGGTACTAAATAACTGATGATATGAGATGATGATAATATTTTTATATTTATCCCCCCTACCACCAACCCCTATTTTTAATAGCAATATTCATTTATATGGTAAAACAATGTTTGCCTTGACACCTAATATATAATATATATAGAAAGCACCCAGACTGATAGAAACAATCATACTCATGAATGCAAATGTTGGTACAGTACGAGAAATCGAACCCGTGATCCATAAATCGCTAGATCACATGGCCATCGATCTGATGATAATCATATCGAATTTCAAAAATCAATCATTGTTACTTGACAGAATACAAGAGTACTCGAATATCGAGTCCGAGCCGCCGCTGCAATCGCAGGGCGAAAACAAGCCGCCGCCGTCGTGGCCAGAAGCCGGTGGGCTGCAGTTCCGTCATGTGTTCCTGTACTACGCGCCTGGAGAGCCGCCCGTACTACGAAACCTCACGCTCGATATACTGCCCAAGGAGAAAGTGGGCATCGTTGGACGCACTGGCGCTGGGAAATCCTCGCTCATTAATGCGCTCTTTAGGTTACAAATTTTTTTTAATCACAATTATGTTTTTTTTTCGGACTATTGTAAAGCTGTTGGTCGCAGCTGGCTTTTACAGCTACACCGGACGATAGGGGGCGAGTGCACATGGCACTCTAAACCCGCGGAAGGACTTATGGAGCGGCTGACGCCTGACGCCTACACACGAATTTTTTTACATTATAATAGGTAAGATATGAATTAAAACTACATAATATATAGGTACAAACGTAATAGTAATAATATAATTCTTATTCCTAATCTAAACGTTCTAATTCATTTATACAGATTAGCAACAATCGAGGGTGAAATAGTAATCGACGGTCGGGAGACGTCGACGATGGGTCTGCACGAGCTGCGTAGTCGGGTATCGATTATCCCTCAGGAGCCGGTATTGTTCTCGGGCACCATGCGCCATAACCTCGACCCGTTCGACGAGTATCCCGACCAGGTGCTCTGGAAGGCGCTTGAAGAGGTAGAATGCTCATTGATTAGTAGCTTTATTTATATATTTTATTAAAATTTAATATTATATTAAAGTATATAATGTAATATGCACAAATTATGATAATTTGAACAGCGTTCTGGACTTTAATATTAATATAATTAAATTTATATAATAAATAATATATTTATATATACGTCTATAATAGGTAGTTTTAAATAACTATAGATGAAATTACTTAGTAATTTCTTTCACGCAACGTTTATTAAGTCACATTAGTATAACTTACTTTCTTCTACAAAGTTCTGAAATGAGAAAATATATTCCTTTTCATATAGGCTTATTATATTTTCTTGTTTAGTTTTGCTTACGTAAACGTCTAAGGAAATGAATTAATATAGATTTGTATGGACCACTACATACAATAAGTTAACTATTAGCTTATTCCTCGGGCTTGGGACACGAAACGACCTCAAAGCGTATATGGAACTCTTACTTACTCAAATAAATTTAAAACATCTGTTAAATTTAATTTATTGCTGCAAAGTTTATTACTCTCTAAACAATCACCTAAATGACAAACGTAATAATTGTTTTTGCACGGGATTTGCATTTATAGTATAAAATGTAAATAAACTGGCTTTAAAAGAAAAAGAAATTCATTTGAGTTTTTGCTAGTTCTTCTCAATTGGATCTGTATATTAAACTAGACGGTAGGCTAAAAAAATATTAATACAAAAAGTTGACGTTCATAAGCGGCAAAAATACAATAATCTACAAAGTTAATATTATTGATTCATATAATATGTTTATTTAATCCCCATATTGTGCGTTGTCAGGTGGAGCTAAAGGAGGCAGTACGCGAGTTGCCGGCGGGCCTGAACTCGCGCATGTCTGAGGGGGGCGGGAACTTCTCGGTCGGCCAGCGGCAGCTCGTGTGCCTCGCGCGCGCCATCGTCCGCCGCAACCGTCTGCTCGTGCTCGACGAAGCCACCGCCAACGTCGACCCACAGTCAGTATTGTTACCAGAAAAATCTACGTAAAATTATAATGACGGCCTCGGTGTCTAGTGGTTTAGCGCACCGCCTTACTTCCGATGGACGCGGGTCGATTCCTCGCACGGCATTTATTTTCATGAGTATGATTGTTTGTATCGGTCTGAGTGTTTTTTGTGTAATATGTACCTATGTATTTACGAAAAAAATATATCTGTATATTTCCATCAGTAATCTAGTACCCATAACACAAGATTTAGCTAGCTTAACTTGGGTCTAGATGTCGCTGTGTGTATTGTCCTGAGATTATAATCTATTGCTGCCTTCATATGACAAATTATATCACGCGCGATTTAGAGCGAGAACGTAAGCACGCAGAAATGGCAATAGTTAGTTACATAAATAGAATAATGCTTTATATTATTTCGCAGGTGGAATTCCCTCTTGACCTTTTTGGCTCTTATTGCGTTTTGTTGTAACAAGTCCAAAATTATATAAATACTCCACCAAACTCCAATATTAGACGAGTTTGAGCTGTTACTCAAATTTATTTTGTCAGTAATATTATTCGAAGCATCGATTCAAATTATTGGTTCAAGACAACAAAATTATAATATATAAAGTTAAATAATATTTTTTTTATCTGGTACATTCTTTACAGAACGGACGCATTAATTCAAACGACAATAAGAAATAAATTCGCAGAATGCACAGTACTTACAATTGCTCATCGTTTACACACTGTTATGGATTCTGATAAGGTAAATATATTATTATAATATATTAATAATAATATTGTTACATGGTCAGTTTTATGTGTCTTTAATGTGAAAACTGAATGACAATGAAATAGGTGTAAATTTATAACATTATTATGGTGTACAGGTGCTGGTAATGGATGCCGGTCAAATGGTGGAGTTCGACCACCCTCACACTCTGCTGCAGCGTGCCGACGGCGTGCTGCGGGGGATGGTCGACCAGACCGGCCGCTCCATGGCCGACACTCTCGCCAGGGTGGCGCAACAGGTAACGATCGATTTGTGATAGTCGTTTTATTTATTTAACTTCAGTGCACTAAATACAAAAGTATAGTACATTTGGAGGACTTAGTACCATGCGCCGTTTTCTACCAGTCAACCATGAATGGTGCAGAGAATAATTGTTGGTTATAAGTGTTATAGAATTTATTGTTATTATCTATATATATTTGATATTATAGCGATTATTTAGAAATTTCTTCATATATTAAAATATTGTACACCAATAAATTTTAATATGTGTAATAATTTTGTTACAGACGTATGAGAAAAAACAACAAGCTGCGCCGAAGGCTTCTAACTGATGATCTAGATCTTTTAGTTATAGCTTATCAAAATATACACGTTCCTATATTTGATAATGGTATTATGATCTGAATAAATGAATTTGTAATCTGAACTGGAGGTAGAAATTTCTAACACGTCGCTCAAGCAAAGCTAATTAATTATACAAGATATGTATGTAGGTAGCCTATAGTGTACTCAGAATGAAACCTTCAGAACTAACTGTTCTTATTGTGCGACATTGGAATATATTTTATAAACAAAATATAAAGAGGAACATGTTAGTATAAGTAGAACGTTTTTTGAAAATTTTAAATGTTCACACTAATTTCGAACTTGCAACTATAATGGATATATTTAGAATGTCTACAAAAAATTACGTGACTGTGCCATTCCAGTTTTGATAGGTTCCATAACTCTGGCCAAACTGTTCCGGTCAGTTTAATTATGTCACAACATGGAGCTTGAACTTGTTTTTATAAAACGATTTATTTTTAAGAATAGTTCTTAATTGTAATAATTAATAATACTTAGATGTTTTTACAAACGACAAGTGAGATTTTATATATTTTTGAATCCATATGCAATGAAAATTTTTATAGTTTATATTATGAGCTCGAACCAAATGAAAATCTCGTTATATTGTTGTGATTGTGCGTGTCTATGGTCCAATGAAGTGATACCGGTGCTTAGTACATTACTTACGTTATTTGTACTTACGGCGTTACTTTATCTTAAAAATCATGATTGTAGGTATAATAACTATGTACTTACGTATTATAAATCGTATGTGAATTATACGTAACTTAAATGCATTGTACGAATATATACATTTTATTTTGTAATGTAATTATTGATAAATAGATTTTATGCAGTGATTTTTATTTAATTTGAATGTGATAATGTTTTGAACATACAGTGCCTGTTTAAAAAGTTAGCACTAAGAAATTTGTTATTATTATTACATGAAAATACAGTTAATTATGTCAAACATACTCTTTTGTTTTAATTTTCCCGACTACGGCGAAACTAAAAATATTGAGTATTATGATTTTGTCCTATTTGTGGAGGTTTACATGTCTATCTCCTCATAACCTCGTAACTACTCATTACTTCAACAATATAGAGTTTATACAAATTATTCTATTGATGTATCCTTGGAATTACATCGCCCGCTATTCTCAAAGTATACTTTATTAGATTTTTTTCGAAATATTCGTTACGTAATAGGTTGATCAGTTAAAATTAAATTCTGTATTAATAAACTTCATTCATGTTTACTGCGTAAAGGATTACCGTACTATTCGTGTCAATTTATTCCATTAGTTAGGTACTTAGTCATAAGTTATTATAAAGCTGTATACAATTGTGGAGAAAAAAAACAAATACTTTTCATTTTTATTTAATTTGGTTCATAAGTATTTTTACAATAAACTTAATATTATAAAAACACATAACGGAATGTAAAAAAGTGATAACACTACAAAACATTATATTAACCATCTTAGGTTTCTAGTATTATCTAATCACAATTTAAACAAAATACTTTTTCTCTATTCTTAATATTTACATCCAATACTGTTATCAATAAAATTAATATAGTAAATTACGTACATACGATGCTGTAATGTTTGACCTATCTTATTATTAAAATTATAAACGCGAAAGTTTGTGAGTATGGATGGACGTTTGTTCTCTTTCACGCAAAATCCGTCCAGTAGGATTTTGATGAAACTATACAGTAATAAAGCTTATACATCAGATTAACATATAAGTTATAAATTTGCCTTGGTTAAAATCGCGGGCACAGCTAGTATTCAATATGTCTGACGGCTATTATACGTCGGCATATTAATGCAACAGTGTGATTCCTTCTAACTTGGCGGATAGTAAACTAGCGTAAACTTAGAATTTCAGTCAGAACTTAACGTAAAAGTAAAAAAAAAGTTTTACAAATGTATTTTACATAATCCCCTTAACAAAATAAGAGGAAAGAGTTCTTCGATACATTACCAATTACTCCCATCCAATTTTATTATCACAGTCCCTTGAAACATACGTTTCATTCCTAATCCTTAACAAACCTGTATCTAGAATAGCTTTTAAATAGAAAGAAATACAAAGATAAATAGATTAGTAATACAGACAGTTGCATAATATGTGAAAAATTTGCTGTTCAACTTCTCAATAAAGAAATATATTCTTTTTCAAAAGGAAGCTTGCTTACACAGTACTGCTAATTTTATTCGAACTTTTTAAGCGTTTATACAAAATATTCACATGTACGCAATGTAAATAAAATATAACCTACTCAAAACCTAGTATACAACGTTTCACATATGTAATATAAATCAACATAACTACGAGAATCATAATGAAAATAATACTAAAGTACAAAAAAATATCGATATTTTTTCGAAGTTGCAAAGTTGTGTCTAGGAGATAAATAAGAAAAATAAATATTAAACAACCATTAGGTATTAGAAATATCTTACAAATACTATGTCATGAATATAATTCTTACTTTCCTTTGGCACAAGAAATATAAATGGAGAAATGAGAAAAGTGCAATGGAAAGTAACACAGAAGACACGTGAGATCTTAAACTCTGTATTCCGAAATTCGATTTTCTTATAATAAACTTAAGTTATATGTGATAGTTTTACATGTAAGCACTAATTCACAGTCTTCATATATGTTGGCAGCACAGTATGGTGGTGTCGCGCATCGCCGTATCGACTTGCCACGGTGTCAAACACTCGTTAACTATTTATACAAAAGTTATACAGGCTCAGCTGCCCACACTTAGTCTTAGCTGTGCTAGTCGCGAAGTCCCAAACCGTCGAGTATACGTCATCTAGCTTTCAAACGAGCGCTGTTAGACTGCCTGAGTTGTGGGTGGGGTCTCCGGATTTTTCGGCTGAATTCATTTTATTCTGTAATCAATAGAAGTTTGATTATATTTAAATTATATCTGGCACATTATTTTATATTTAATTTATCTAGCGTACCATGAGTCGCGGTAAATATTCTTTCTATCCCGCAACTGTGGTACATGACATTGGACGGCATTTTCATTTAATGTTGATACACACTTACAGTGTAAATTAACTGTGGACGGTAGTTAAAATAATTTACGTCCATAAGCGGTTAAAATGTCCTACATGAATAAATGATTGGATTAGATTTGATAGTTACATGTGCGTCGTGGTGGTAGTGCGAGGGCGGCAGCGGTAGCAGCGGGCGCAGCTCCCGCCAGAAGGTGCGGTCGAGCACGTGGCGCCACGCCAGCAGCCGCAGCCCGCGCACCACCTCCACCAGCCGCGCTCCACTCTCCTTCGCCTCGCGCTTCAGCTTCGGCAAATCCTGCACAAACATATACACATTGTTCGTTTACCGACGGACTTTATTGTACAGTAAAAACATCACCACAGAGACGATGTAGTTATATTCATATTGCTATTACATATGTATGTCATTTATAATATGGGCGATACAATGATGTTAGAAAATAAATTGTACAATGGCGGACCTATCTAAATTAGCGATTAGATTAGTGGAAATAGAAGCTAGATAATAACAACAAAAAAAGAAAAAAGCAAGTATACATTTTACATAGATATAATATATAAATATACATAATAATAGCTAAAATAAAAATCTTATCGTATATCGTGGTACAAATCATGCATTGCCATTCCAGAGGACTAAGATGTCACGAATCTTATACAGTAATTTCATTGCCAATCGCAACCTACAACTGAAATTCAGTTTACAAAGCAAGTATGCAAGTCCCTAAATAAATGTAAGAATTAAAAAAAAGCAAGTTGTTTCGTGGCTGAGGTACCCACGCAAACGAAAACGCACATTTTACGACTATCTTTGGTGAAATAGCTTTAGATTTATCAGTCGCTAGACATGAATGTATACTATGAGAGTGGTTACCTGCAGTAATACGACGACGGGCGAGAGAGGCAACGCACGAAGCTGCCGCAATGCCTCGAGCAGCTGTTGAGGTGTGTACTGTGACGGCGACACCACCGCTAGTAGTGAGCGACACCGCGCTAACTCCGGTGACATCTCATTGTACCCTGTATATACACATACATTATATTTACACCATCTACTACAAGTATATTAATTAAGGACAATTCACACGGCGCCATCTAGTTCCAAACTAAGTAGATGTTGTACTATGGGTACTAAACAACTGACAGAAATATATTAAAACAAACACTAATACAAATGTCTGTATTCTGCGAGAACCGCTAGATCACCGAGAGTGTCAGATAATTAAAGTAACTATACTTCTCCGCGGGACGATGGAAGGGAAAAAATACTTCTGTGAGTGGTAAAAATATTCTAAAAGAAAATAATTAAATTTTGAGTTTTAAGTGGTCATATAGTATTTAGTAGTTAATGTGATTCTCAGTTTATAGGATTACGGAACGATGGAAATCGAGAATTGAAATTGGAACTCACAGTTATCGGGCATGGTGGAGAGCTGCAGCGTGTGCACGCGGTACTTGTATTTAAGGGTGAGCGTCGGTAGCAACGCCCCGCGCACCAGCTCCGCGTCCACTGGCGTCCAGCACACCACCACGTCGAACTCCTTCTCTAGTACTGCGCACACGGAACGTCACACAGTTAATAAAACTACACAATATATTTGCATCTACACGTACATTTTCTATGCTTTGATGCGGGAAAGAGTGTGTGCATTTTTTTATTTGGGCGTAGGATTATATTTTAGAGACCATGGTAAATGAGTCGATGTCGTTGGAGGATCATTTAATTATTGCAGTCGTTGTCGGCACATCAAATCGCGAGTACAAGTGAGAGGTCACGTGGACTTACCTCGGGCGCGGTGTGCGGGGCCGGCTGCGCGCGCACGCAGCTGGCGGGCGGCCAGCAGCAGCCGCGGCGAGCAGCGGCGGTGCAGCGCAGCCGCCGACACCAGCACGGCGGCAGCGCACGCCGCGCCCAGCGCCAGCGCCCGCCACGGCACTGAGCTCGCTCCGCCTGCACCAACGCCACTCGCACTGCCCCACGTGCTCGTACTCCCCGGTACCGCATCCACCGCGCCCGACGATGACGCCTCATCTGCGAATAATCCAAGGTAATATTATATGTACGAAACAGTGTCTGTCGGTTAGAGAAAATTAAAGGATCTGTGATCTCGAAGCTAAAACAAGAGCTTTCACTATGCGGTCTTCGTACAATCGAACTATATAGTATACAAGATAGCTTTTGTTTACTTTTAGTTTTACAAGTGTGCACCTTGAAGGCGTTAATAAGTTTTATTTATTTTTCTATATCTCGATGATAGAAACAGTTTTGATAATATCAATAAATATGAAAAAAATAAAAATCCACTGTAGAAGGATTTCTGTAGTTTACTTTATTAACTACCCTAATTTTGTACTCTTTTTTTGTTAACCTTTTATTGTGGTCCTTCGAGCCGGATTAGGATTACGCTGTACGAAAATACGGTTCTTTCGGTTACGGTTGAAATTTATTAATATGAATAACAAAACTAATAAACATAAATACCTCTATAGTGCACGGTGACGGTTTTGGTGACGACGGCGCCATTGCTACGCACTTCGCATGCATACGTCCCGAAATCTTGAAGAGTGACGCGCGCCACACGCATGTATGAGCCGCGAATGTCGTTTATGTCATCTCTGCAACATTTACATAAATAATTGAACCGGTTGCGGTTTTTCCTATTAATTTATTATGCAAGTACTATATAAAATAAGATCATATTATTGTTTATTATGGTCACTTTATGTAAATAAGAAATTATTATGTCAACATAACATTCCGATGTGGTTTAATTGCAATAATAATAATATTAATTAAAATAGATGACTTGTGGTAGACTATTACTAGCTGCATCTCTCAGCGTTGCACGGGAAATATTTAATGAATTATTTGAAAACATTGTCGTCATGGGTAACCCAGTCATTTATATGAGTTGCTAAACAGCCTGTTTTATTAGTTGTGTTTCGGTTGTAGGGTCAGATAAGGCAATGAAATTACAGGTTAAAAGCATGACATCTTAATCATGGGGTATGCAATGCATGCTTATTTTATAATACATGATAATTGAATTTTGCATCCGCTGTCCTAACTGTATGTATATGCTAGCGAGGCACCAGTGAAAGATGACAAAATGCGGACGATGTAAGATCATTTAGGCCATAGCGACAAATTCACTAAGAATAAACTACGATGGTTTCCACGTGGAGGCCAACCTGACATGGCACATTGTTGGCAGTGCAAGTAGCACGGATGTCACATGATAACGTGATGTGCGTAATATTGTTCGCTTATATAGGCGACTGTTACCGCTTACCATCAGGTAGGTGGTTGTTTGCCATTCTAAATACATAAAACTCAGGCAGGTTAGAACCATTATCCCATTGTTAACATGTTAAAAAAAAAGAGTAAATCGTGAATATGTCGGTGTTATTTCTAAGTTTTATTATGATAATATCTAACATGTATGTTTGTTCTCACCTGTACGTTTTGGTTTCATTCTGCGTGGGCAACAAGTCAATCGTGCCGTTCGGTGATATTTTTCGCCAACGGAGGTCGCTGAGGGCGTCTGCTAAATACGACTTTCCTAGAAATACAAGTCAAATGTTCGTATATTAAAATATTTATACGATATAGGGATATAATAATGTATTCATTTCTAGGAAGGGTGCTCCACTTAATATTAAGAAATAATGATATTAATATACTACCTGTTGTCTTAAGGGGGTCTTCCTATGTGATGGGTTGAAAAAATCGATTTTTTTTTTTTCATAAATTGCTCCCTTAACATGTCTAGAATACGGTAGTAAAGCGATTTTAGAAAATTCGAAGTCGTTTTAAAGATACAGCAGGTAAAAGATTGGCGACGGTGACAGCAAAACTTTCAAGGGCATCCTAGATACTAAACCGTATGGAGATACTGCGGTAACAAAAAAGAATGTGTGGGTCACGTAGAAAAGAGGATGGGAACACGACTTCGGGCTGTTAAAAAGGATAAAACCAATAAAGGAATAGGAGGAAAAGGAGCAGGTAAACTTACTGATAAAGTTATCCAAGAAATTACAAAATTCTACGGATTAGCAATTCGACGCCATCCAGATTCGCTTGAAGATATGAGAAAGGAAGTTTGGGCAACGTACTATCACAAATGTTCTTCTGATGAAAACCCTCAGCATCAATTTTGTCCCGAAGGCGAAGACAGTTGGTGTAAATGGCGTAAGGCTGAAGCTAATAATGAACTGGACCAATTTCATCACGATAAACCACCTCTAATTCCGCAAGTCCAAGAAGCTATCAAACCGGTTTTCGAAGATTTATCGAAAGACGAATTATTAATTCGTTGTTTAGGAGCAGAGACACAAAACAATAACGAATCTTTGAATTCTTTGATTTGGACTTTCGCTCCTAAACATCTTCATTCTGGTCCCAAAGTTGTTGAAATTGCTAGCTACTTAGCAGTTATTATCTTTAATGAAGGTTTTCAAGGTATTTTAAAAGTTATGTCGATTATGGGATGCCCTGTTGGTCGTGAAGCCCAAGCGTATGTTGAGAAACGGGATGAAAAGCGAATCTTACGCTCTGAGCGGCGCGTAAGTGATGTCGTTAAACAAGCCAGGATTGACTCAAGAGCTGAACAATCTGCTTTAAAAGAGTTTCACGAGGAAGAGGAAGGAATACTCTATGGACCAGGCATCGCCGATTGAGAGTAAGTTGATATTTTAATAGTTTTTAACGGACTTGAAACTTTAAACGCGTTTTTCTCAAAACTGTGTTTTTCTAACTTTTCTCCATTGTATCTCAGAAACGGCTGGACCGAATTACTTGAAATTTACAGGGCACACTCAATATATGTAAACGCATGGAATGAACTATTATCAATCGAAAATTTTCAAAACTTCGATTTTTTTATAGCAAAAAACAAAAAAAAAACGCCTAATTTGCAACTTTTATTTCAAATGTCTATCAAAAATCCAATTTTTTTTATATTCATTTCATTATAGGTCATTCCGTGCTTTTAAGCCTACAAATTAAAACGCCGTTTTTTTTTTTTTCAGATAAGCCGATCAGCCGGAATCGTGGAGGAAGTGGGAGCTCTTTTTTTCGAGGCGGGGGTGTTCAGAGCGCTGTAACTCTAGTTTGACTGAATATTTTTAGCTGAAATTTTATATTTATACTGTCCAAATATGTGTTAATAAATGATAAAAAACTTGAAGCTCTAAATATTTACTGGTCGTAGAAAAAAAATCCTAAAATATCCCTAAAAAACAGGCCGTCACATAGGAAGACCCCCTTAAATTGTATTTTTTTTTATCTACGAGCGGAGCGTAAATCTATCAACGCAAATATTTAAATTAAAAACGATTTAATGACTGATAAGAGTCCTTAAATTAAACAATAGTTGCATAATATGACAATATATTGTAACCATATGTTTTAATCAAAATAGAAAATCATTTATTCAAATATAAAAAAAATTAAAATGTAATCTCATACTTCTAACGTCATTGATAAAAAAAACTAAGGGATCTGAATTCTAATTTATCTTCATTTATGTATAATAGTTTTACGGGTTTTTACCGTTAGATATACATAGGTACAGTATGTATAGTTTGCATTCTATTCTAATCTTGATTGACTAATACTTCAGTGTATTTCTTCTCGCACTGTCCGTCCACAAATCTACTTTGGGTCGTATTTCATTTTCGTATTATTATGTCACGCTATATCATAGCTAAAAACAGATATTGATACTGTCAAGCTAACTATATTAAGATTGACGTCGATTTTTTATTTTAAACATTGTAACATTATTGGTAATTATTACGTTACTCACCTACTAGAGCTTCGCAGAACAAGCGCAGCTCGTCACCCAAGTCTAGCCATTGGTCTTTTGAGATGAACATTGTTCTTGGACGGTCAATAGGTTTATCTGTAAAGATGTTGTTATTATTTATTAAATTATTAATATACTTTCACCGCTATTATCTTAGATAATAAAGAGAAATAACTAATAATTGTACACTGAAAAAATTATGAACTTGATTACCATTGTCGTATAAAAAAAATAAGATTAATTCAGCGGTTTAGTCATGAGACGGTAAACAACTAGACAGACAAACATTATTTCGTATTTATTACATTAGTACGATTATTTAGCCATTACATACAGAAAAAGACAATATACCTATGTATAATAGAAAATGATCACCGTTCCTTGATGGCAGACACTATCATCATTGCATATACACTACTGGAATTGACTTACACATCGATTATGAATATATAATAGGTTGGGAAATTTGAACTATCATTTTGATTCGCTTATTAAGCATAATAATGATACGTAGGTACTTACCGAGTACGTCTAGCGTTATGGTATGTACATCGCTGTGAGTTTCATTGCTGATTCGACATGTATAGTTCCCGGAATCTGCTCGGGTCGCGCCTCCCGTATACAGTGTCTGGTTGGCATCTTCTGGGTACAGGATCAAGTTGGACACGCCCGCAGACCAAGGGTATGGCGTACCATTCTTGAACCTGCGAAAGATTTTTATAGACTCGTGATATATTTCAAATTTTCAGCAAAGTATGATTCGGCCGAATTGAACAATGTGCATAAATTCATAAACAATATTATTGAGATGTATTCATTTTATTTATTTGCTTCATTGCGTAATTAAATATACCATGTTTAATTGCAAAAGGCGGATTTAATGCAATGGCATTCTCTCCCAGTAAACTTCTAGGAAATGTAGGGATGATGATTGCGTCTTAACAATAAACGTGCATATTATTTACAAAAAATAAATTATAATAGTATATTTAAGTAACATACACTGTAAAATTCATGTAATTACGTACAACATTAATACAAACCTACCTTTTGTATTGTATTTACATAATTATGCAAAAAAGTATCTGAATTATAGTGAAATGTGTATTAAAATAACACATTTCACTATAATTCAAGAAGTAGAAGAAGTAAGCAGAAAAACTGATAAGTACACTAACTGTTTTAGATAATCTATAGAAGACCATGTAATATAATGTAATATGCCAATTGAATTGACGACACATACACTTTCTTCATGTAAAATCAAAAATTAAAACTTTTTGTGTTTTAAAATTTGAATAATAATTTGGTATTAACTAACGACCCGCCCTGATTGGGCACGGATGCATTACAAATCTTCGAATTTCTCGGCTTTTTCTGTACTATAACACGCATGTATTATACATATAGACATTCCTCTTCAATCACTCTATCTAGTGCTGAAAACTGCGTTAACAATCCGTTGCGTAATTTAAAAGATATAAGCGTACAGACAACTGACCTTTCTAATAGTTTTATTTTTTATTATCTTTTAAAAACTAACTATTTCTTTTATTATTTCGTTTTCACATAGTTACATTAATCACCATTTTCAGATTCCCACCTGGGTATGGTATGGAGACATAAAACACTGTCATTTCTCGACAGAAACAACGTCGAGATCCGTGTCTATGTTCAGGACATAATTCGCGGTAACGGCCAACGCGACGTGGCGGGGTGGCGTAATGCAGCTGCCGATGACAACCACGTTTCCGCGAAATACCAGATTACGAGTACATTTGCTATTATTGTACGGACAAATAATGACATCGAGCCAATCACCAGTTACCAGCCAATTAATACTACGCTGTATGCTTATGTACTATACATAACAGTCAGCAGCGTTCACCTCAATCTAAATCCTCAATTCTGTATTAGCATGCCAGCTGCGGATTGTTCAGCGAATCGGCTTTGTGCAAACAAAACTTCGCGATCCCAGCGATTCCAGTGAACAGTAAAATTTTGCGGGAGCTGTTTTTGAATCGTTTGAAAGGAAAACAAACATTTGAGCGATGTTTCATCACAAGGCCGCGATGGCTATATTTCCTAGAAGTGACGGTGAGAAATCTTGCAACCAGGGCTGCCAATAACAGGATTTACAGTATAAGATTTTTGGCCATTGTGTGATGATATTTTCACTCTCATAGAAGTTTGTACAAAAATTCCGACCTCCGAAAATTCTCGTCTACATACTGTGATGAACGAGGACAGCTAAATTGAGCTTATGTACGAGATTTCATCAGATATTTTTATTTCTTCGTACGATGCTAAGTGTTTTAAGGTTGGCAACCCTATTGGCAACATCTATTGGCCGTACCCACTTGGGCGTATGAGTGCGCGGGAGGTGGTGCTTGCTTATTGCTCACGCCTGCATGTATGTGGTCGGTGCTGCAGCCAGCATTATCACATGTTCGTAGTAATGGCAACGATATAAAATTACTGTTTCGGATATTTATATTTCCAAATCAAAATGAATCAACAAATAGGTTCGGTTTACTGGGGCATTATGTTATGGACAAATCGGTAATCCACAATCTTATTTGATAAGAAATGACTCATTTATAAGAAAAGTAATGCACTACAAAAACGTTTAACAGCGTACCTAATAAAACTATAAATAATTTGAAAACAATATTTGTAAAGAAATACATTAATTAGAGCATTTTATCATGTCACGTCTGCCTCCGGTGTCCCTGGGAGAATGTTTAATTTTAGCTTTATTTAAGAGAAATGATTCACGCAACGCTCTGTAATATTGAGATTGGATAAAGAAATTGGACGATTTCGTGTGACCGGGATACCTATATTGACTCGAACGGCGTACGCGTCAAGGCGCTTGGTTGCATCGTCAATGCCGAGCTTTATACCTGTATCTGTAATACGTATATTTACAACATAAAGTAACCAACACAAGGGATAAGGAGATGGTCAGTAAAGGAGGCCAATGATACTATTGCTAGCAATAAGTACATATCGTGGTCCCAGAGAATTCGCCACAACATTCGGCTAACTTGATGACTGCATGCTAATTCTACCATGTTCCATAGGAGGACCCTATAGATGGCCAGCGTACCTATACTGTATATAGAATAGGAGGGTGTACAATTCTATATTCATTCAAACATATAACATTACTTACAGATTTCTTTTTTAGTACCATTATAAATACAAACTACATTTATAAAAATATTTCAATGTTACAATTTTGGATTGTTTATGTAAAGAGACGTGGAATTTTTTTAAATGAGTTATAGGTATCATAGTAGGCAGCGATTCCGGCTTTTCGACTTATATAACTAGGTACGACCACAACAACTACATATATAATTAATTTATAATGATCACAATTTTCTTAATTAAAACCACAATGATTATTTACTGACCCATAAAATGAATTTCATATATAGTCACCAAACTTAGCAGGACGCAACATTGTCTATTCGAATCAATGTACAGTTTTTCCCTTTTATTACTAATAAAGCAGAGGTAACTTTCACATGGTATTACTTTTATTTAATATGACGAAACTCGGTGGTCTACCTGTGGTTTAGTACATCGCCTTACTTACAATGTTTGATTCCTCGCAGTGTACAAACTTGTAACTCATTCATTAAAATTTCTATTTATGAGTTTAATTGTTTGCATTGCTCTGGGTATTTTCTATGTATATTATGTATTAACTAAAGCAATTGTATTTATACCATAATACATCCTACTTAGTTTGGGACTAGATAGCGCTCTGTGTATTGTGCTGGATTATTATATTTTTTTTTCCGCCGAACTCCAAGTATCATATCTCATCATCATGAACATAATTTAGCAATTATCAAATACATAATTAAAGACTGTGTTTACGTGTTTATGGTCCTTCGGGCTGGATTTGAATAGCTAAAAGGTAAAGTAAACATTATAAATAATTTATACATTACATTTAAAGCATATATAATAAATATTATATATGCTGCACTTTTGAAATTAATATTATTAATTTCAAAAGTGACTACTTAAACAAATAATAATAATATAGCAGAAAATTCACATCATTTTATCGGTATCAGTAATTAAAATTAATTATTTACTGCGAATGTTACTAATTATTTTAATGACAGCCGATAGCGATCTAAACATTACCGCTGTGGTAGGTACCTACTCACATACTGGGAAAAGGAACAAAAGCACATCATGCAAACGCAGTTGAAGAATGCCGCCGTAACATGACACGTATGCAACTAAGGGCAATTATTGTCATGATGATACACAGGTATTTGTAACAAAACAACCGCCCCTAGCGACCGCTTAATTATCCCGTTTGTCTATAACAAGCGAGGCATCAAACTGTTCGACAGGAATTTATATAGCAGTTATTAGTTCACGATACCGCTGCCTTATTGGACAATAAAAAAACTATATTACAAACTATAGCTAGGTTTTTGTTGCAGGCTGGACTACGTGCGCGATGGAAAGATGATTGAACAGATGTCACAACTTCGCTATTACAATCTCAACTGACATAATTATGCATGCACCATGATTTGCTCTTGATCTTGAATGTCCAAAGCGGAAATCAGGATAATAATGAAATTTACACGTCATACTATGTGTACATTTATCTGAATACATAACGAATTTGAATATTCGGCCAGTATTTGTGGTTAATTTATTTTAGATATGCCATGTATTTTGTATTGTGTGATATGGCTGTGTGATATTTTATAAGTAGGTAGGAAGGAGGAAACTTTAATATATGATATAGTATATAAACAAATAGAAATAAAATTAATTGCAAGTACAAGAAAAAACACAAGTGTTGTTTCATACATAAACCTAATTCTTTCTGTCTATAATGAGACTAGCTGAATTCTACGTTACTAGCTAATAAGCTAGTCTCATCAGCTACGTAGCTTATACATATATAGGTGAAGGAATGTTTAAAACTCATCAAATATTTTTTATTCCAAACAGCAATTCTTTCCTCTACATAATATTAGTATAGATAACAGAGAAGGAAGGTCTGGAACAAAAAACCCGATGAGGTCATCCGCCGTCCCCCTGTTCTGCAGCCCTGCGGACTGTGAATATTTCCCAAATAACACGAACCGGTCTTTGACCGCGATCGGGTTGCAATCCTGAGCGCAGGGCTGCTAACCTTAGCCTTGTAAAAAAGAAATAAAAATCGGATAAACTCTCGTACTTTATCTTTATTTTGACCGATTTTCGTTGGTCAATGTGTCGTGTTGTACAAACACCGGGAGAGATTGAAAATGTCATCATATCAAAGGCTAAAAACATCGTATTTGTACAAGGATTCTCGCACGGTTGGCATCCCTGCCAGAACGTTAACCACAAATCGCGTATAGCCGATATCATTCTAAAAAAGCATTCCGATATAATGAATTACATGAGGTAAATCTCATTATATTAACATAATATAATTAAATTAGTATTAAGGAACAAAGCAAAGAATTACACTATAATTGTAATTAAATTTATTATCTTTAACATGGAATATCATAATTAAAAATAATCATATACCTACACAATTATTTAGGCTGATTAGCGCTAAACTCAGATTTATTGTGTAATGTATATATAGATATATAAAAGTAAACTAAAGCTGCGAACAGAATTAGTGCAGTATTTTTGCTTTGAAAAATTGTATGTCTGT